AGACCTACGTGAAATATACTTCCCTTTTTGTCCTGAATGTTATATCATTCTTTATGCCGGCTGCACTGCCAGCTGTCTTAACAAGTATCAACGCACAAGCTCAAAAGAGATTGCGAAACCAAGGCATTTATTGCTTGAATTCCAGATACATAAGTCTTTGTGGAGGACTTGATGTTGCCTGCTTTGATAAGGTGATTTATGTTTCAGTTCTTAATGATTATTAAATATTTTGTAATTTAATCTTAAAATTTTCTGCAATAATAGTTTATGCGTCAGCAGTAAGATCTGTAAAATAAAAGAATTTTTTTATTATAAAGGTAATTAATTGACAGTTTAATTATATTTTTATTTGTTTCTAATGAATAGGAAATTCTTCTTTTTCAAAACATTTTTCAGATATTTTTCATGAATCCTATTTCGTAATTTTAGTGTATAGATAGATATATTCACTCCTCAGTGCAAATAGCGCAAATCAAGGACTGAAAAGTTTCTATTTTTTAAGAGGAAATTACTCTCATAAAAGAAAATATTAACATAGAATTAAGTTTATTGAACTTCCAGTACGTATGAAACATTTGTCTTCTGCCATCAGTCGGAATTTTAAGAAGAGAACTTTTTGATTTATTTAAATAATAATTGTACGTTTACCGGCAACTAATTATTTTTATACAGGTTGTTTTATGGTTTATATTTTGTTTAGATGTTACCATACGCAACATATTTCAAATACGCCAAAAGGCTTCATACCTTTCTGAGTGACACTGATTTCTTTGGCTTGACCTCTACTATAGCTGCTATTCGCTCTGTACTTATACCCTCTTGTCTTCCACATTCAGTAAATGCTTCGTGCTCTGGATCAGCTCCATCTGCGTCATATATCTTTCTGTAATGACATGGAGCTATCCAAGAAATACAGCATCCAGGCATATGTCATGATGTGGCTATTGTATTTATAATAATGGAATGATCTGAATATTTCATCCATAATAATATTTATTATCGATGCTATAACCAAATCAATCCATAATGACATCTAATTATACAGGACCTCTAGCATCTCGCAACACATACAGCTAGCTATCCAGGGAAAAGAGAAATGCAAACTGCTGGACGACAAATATTTCCATACAGTACAATAAATTTATTAACTACTTTTGTGAGAGTACTTTCCTCTTAAAGGTTAGGAAAACAGTAGCTTTCTCTATTCACGTTCTTTCTGCACATCATTCATTACGATTGCCAATTTCTATTTTTACTTCCTTGTACGAAGTAAAAAGGAAGTATTGTAATCGCAAAAAGTTTCAAGCAGCATATTTCAACGAAAATATCCATTTTGACCGCTATCAAATGCAATTTACGATTTTTTGCGTGATATCTGTACGTAAGGACAGAATAAAAGACTCGTTTCTTCCAAAAAATTATAAAACTGCTTTAAATTAATTCTGAGATAATTTTTCGTGGCGTTGTACGAACGTATGTACGTACGTACGTAGTACGTATCTCGCATAACTCAAAAACGAGCCCTCAGAACGTTGAAATTTTGTATATAGGCTGCTATAACATGTAGTGCACCTTGTATTTTGATTGCAATCGCCGCACTACACGTATAAATATATTTATATATATCTCCTCTGTTACCCGGCTCAGTGATCTCAGTTCTTTACTCTATCTGTTTGAATGTATTTTTTTGCTTTAAAAATGATTTAAATTATGTTGTTTTTTCTTTCGGTTAAGGTTTTTATGCTTTTAGTAAATCTGTATGCAATATTTTTTAGAATTACAACAATTTAAAGTTGTTAGTGCCCCTAAGCCTTTTTTTTTTTTTTTTGATGGCGGCCATGATTGTTTACATTTGAAACAGCACAGTGGTTTGTTTTGCAAATCTAGAAACTTAGTTTTCGCAGAACAAAGATAACGCCTTCATTTATTATTGCGAATTAAATCATGCTTAATCCTTTTTGGAATTTCTTCGAGGAAATAATGTTTAAGATTTACTTCGTAATTTTAATGCAGATATTTTATATTTTTTTGTTTTTTGCCTTCTCGCGAAGTGAGAATTGAATTAACTGAATGAAAAATACTCAATCGTCTGTGAAAAACTGTTTCTTTTTTGTTTTTTTGTTAATTTTTATAAATCATTCTAGCTTATTAGTATTTGAAAACATGTGGCAACGATTAGATAATTCTATCTTTAAATGATATAAATTTTGTGCATTATGAGTTCTAATATGAACGAAATATAATACGTTATGATCTAGCGCCAGAGTGTCGCTTTGGAACAAATACTAGAGTGAATTTTATAAACACATTTTTCTATTGTGGTTTATGCGCTTCGGCAAGTATTTTAATTCAATCCAATAAGTTTAAATGAAATGCAAGAAAAAATGCGTATATTTTAATATTCCGCACAAGGAAGTCATGTGGTGTACATATCAGATTTTTTTCCAAATGGGAAGAAAGTTAAGATGATTCACTTCCTGTAGAATTGTTAAATTCCCGAAAAATTTAATGAACATCTACTGTTCTCGATTGTGTTCGAATTTTATTCACTCAAATCTTTAGAAAACATAACCCATTCCGACGTATTTAAAGCAGTTTTTTTTAGTTCCATTCATGTATCATTTTCATTTTATAAATAGCAATATTTTCTATTTCAATTTATGTGATTGTATCTCTTGTTATGTTTTTTTCTGCCGCGTTTACACATTTGTATATATTCTTAATATTGTCATTCATTCTTGCTTTTCTTCCTATTATTATTCCATCTATTACGTCCACATTCATGAACCTAATTTTTCTTCTGTAATTGCTTCATTCTTGCATTGCAAATACTGCAAAATCTATCCATACCTTATAGTTTACAACCATCATTATACTGCACATCAAAACTGAGCTGAATTGCCCTTACTGTATTATAGACTGTTTATTACATACGCTGTATATCTCATGATACATACGCTTGATATATTGTCAACGCAACATGTTTTCCTCAACGTTTCTGTAGACCGTTTCTACTGCTGAAAATACACTACTCAAAGTTCACAAGTATAGCAGTTGCCCAATCGGCAAAACGAAGAACTTTTAAACGGTCCCATCACTTAATTAACTAGGAAGTAAACAGTCAAAGACCTTGTTAAAACTCTCATATATTTTGCTAGTCAGTGAGATTTTCCTGCTTCCTATAGTCTTCGTCAGATTAGATTATTTTCTTAATTTAGTTTGTAGGGACATTAGGTTATTTTGAAGCAGGAGTGATGAACTCCTTGGCCGGGAATCGAATCACGGACCTCTGGAATACGCGTCTAGCGTGCAGACCACTACACCACGAAGGCACGCTAAGAAGGCGGGAGAAATACCTTATATACTCACCCTTTTAAAGGGCGACTGGAGTTTTAGGGGACCCAATCTCCAAATCCTGGGTGTGGACAACCATCACCCACCACCCTTTTAGTTTGGTTGCAACTGTAGAGAAATTAGGTTATTTCGAAGCAGGAGAGATGAAAAATGAGCAAAGCCTTCGCCAGAAATCGAACGAAGGACCTCTGAAATATGCGCCCAGCGTGCATACCACTACATCACGAAGGCAAGCTAAGAAGGCGGGATAAATACCTTATAAATTTGATGATGACTATAGATAAACAGGACAGTGTAAAGATCGCACTAATTTATAAAATACATGATTCATTTAGCAACAATTTTGACTATTCGTTAACCATCGTTATTATAAACAACCTTCAGATTTTTTGCATAAACTTCACTACTAATATTTGCTTAATTTAATTTAAATTTTCCTTTATCCAGACAATTTTTGATGGCTCTTTTTTAACTACGTGTGGAAAAGTTCGAGCTCTAAAGGCGCTAAAATAGAAATCACTTATATTCATAATTAATTCAAAATAAGTATTTTACATTTTTAATACGGTAAACGTAATAAGTAGGAAGATGAAACTGTGAGAAATTTTTCACAAGATAGCTACTATAAGAATGCTGTTAAAGTTACGTCTTCTTTGTAAAACACTTATAAAGCTATTATAATATGATTGCAAAAAATTCTACAATAAAAATTGTGTTTCTAAATTATTTTTGTAAATTTTTACTATAGTTCAGATTTAAATTGGTTTAGGATTTTGAATACTACAGCGAGCTAAAATTTTGAATTTTGCTTTTATCGTAAATTCTACCCAGACAGGAACACTTACAGAAGATAGTCTTGACCTGCATATTCTTTTGCCAGTTCAAAACGGAAAGTAAGTATCTCGTTTATAATTTTCTCGTAGTTTGTAGCATAATATCATGAAAGAAATTAAATTATATGTTTCCAACAGGTTTCAATCACCTGTAAAAGATCTAACATGCCTGCATGACAAACTTCTAGTGAACTGCTTGGCATCGTGTCATTCTTTAACAAAAATAGAGGATGAATTGTTTGGAAATGATCTAGATATCAAAACCTTTAAAGCTACAGGATGGGTAACGATGTTCCAGTTATTATTTTAATTATTAAATTTTAAGAAATTGTGATTAATTTCGAATTCATTTATTTTGTGAGATCAAAAATTCTCACGTTTTATGGATCAAATCTTTTTTTAGCATTTATTTTAAATGCCTTCAGATATTAGATCTCCTGTTAAAGGTATAATCTACTACTACTCCCGATGTTCATAAATGATTTTTTCTTTGTTTTGTTCACAGCAACGCGATATTTCTCTTCTAATTTCATCCCTCGAACTTACTTTGCAGGTTTTGCAACAACCGACAGTTACAGATGCAGTTCCTTTCGAAAATATTCCTCCGAGAATTGTTTATCCTAATCCTTCCAAACATTTCAGAGAGGTATGTAAGCAGTTCATTGCTAATTCTATTTTATCCTAGATGCTGAAATATTTTCTAATTTAATTTCTAATCTTCAAGGAATTAAAAGCAATTGCTATTCTGAGGCAATTTCCTTTCGAATCATCTCTGAGAAGGATGAGTGTAGTCGCCAAAGTCGATGGAAATAACCACTTCGAAGTCTTCTTAAAAGGTGCTCCAGAAATTGTATGCTCTTTTAGCAGAAACGAATCAGGTATAGTACATGGATGAAATAATGCGTAAATTATTTGTCATTTCGTAAACTTAGAACTGCAGTAAATGCAAACGTGCAGACTTTTCAAGTATTTAGTTTACTTACTTGAAACGTGTTTATCATATAGCATTAACATTTCTAAAGTAATAACACTTCGTTCTCATGGAGCTAATAATATCATATTTCTTTTCATATTTTGTTTTTTTTTAAACAATTTTATCGTCCGAAAATCGAGAAGGGAAAATTATGCGCATAATTTAATTTCGAAGGATGTGGTTACATATCAAACGGGAGTAGAAGGACGAAGTGAGAACGTACAAAATGAAAAGCGGTCGTGTATATAAACTACAGGTAATTATCTTAATATTATATCTTTAAAAGAAAACTACATTCCAATACGAATAATTAGTAATAGTAGCAGTGTATTGCTCTTGTAACTAGGTGTAATTTAACTTGTAACTAGGTGTATCTTGTACCTAGGTGGCAGATCCTTGATTAGACGTGTAAGCGACTTATCGTTATATCTCAGATGAAACAGAACTTAAGAAGATCGGAACTCAAAATAATTTAACAGAAGTCCTTTCTTGTGCTTACAAACCATCCAGTATTCATGATGTAACTCAAAAGATAAGGAATTCAAATTTAAAACTAAGTTAAATCTGAAGTTGACGAAAGGCTACACAAAAATAATTAACGCGCGGTTTAGTTCAGACCTACACCGGAGTGACAAGCGCTATTGCCAAGTATAATGCAATGCCGAAGACAAACTGCTATTATAGAATTGCGACTAGCAAAGTGGCCTTCAGGAGGCAGAACACACTCATATTAAACAATCAAAAACCGCCCTTTAAATACTATCTCTTTCTACCTATATCGCTTGTATACGCAAGAACTAAAGTTAGCATTCTGGCAGGAAAACGGAAAATTATAATGACATTAAAACTACATAAAATAACTGGTTAGATAAAAATAAATACATTCTTTCAATATATTTATTTCTGTTTCTTTTGGACTTGAATCCCGCCATTCTTATTATTGTCTCTGCGACTGCTTAGGCTTCAAATCATTCATAAATAATTACAGAATGTGAATGTGCAGCTGACTCAACAATGTCACTGACATAAAGTTCAATAGTTAGAAGGGAATGGTTAGGCGTCACCTTCGCAGGTAATTTGAGAGAATTGGTCTTTGTTAATTAGATGAAAACAATCACTACGTGGGCGAATCCATTTTTTTAAATGTAGGGAAGCTCGTTCTCTGAACGCATTGAGGAAGGAGAAAATTATGCGAATATTTTTAAAATTTCCAGAACTGTGTTAAAAAGCTGGGGGGATAGGAATGCGCAAGGAAAAACGGTACTTTTTTATTTAAATTTAATCATAACGTTTTAAAACATACAGGTTAGTGCTTTATGATTTAATATCCGTAACTCCGAGAAACAGACTGACAGTCTAAATGTCTATTATATTGAAGGTTTAAAATATCTTGTTCGAAAAGGAAGAATTTTAATTTATTTTCAATAACTTATTTAAATAAAAGTTCATTACTAAAAGCTTAAATAAATTTCTAACTTCAAACTTATTTCCTTGTTTATTGCAGTTCCCAATAATATACAGGAAGTCCTGAAGTTCTACACAAGCCAAGGTTTTCGAGTTATTGGAATGGGATGCAAAACACTTCCTGAAAATGTATCATGGGAAATGGCTTTACAATTATCTAGGTACTTCATCAAAATTAAATACGAAATCGCAGCAGATATTTACGTTAAAAGTATTTGTGTATATGGTATGTAGTTTCAAAATAGATTGTACCAATTCATTCATCTTACTTCGGTTTTCTCAGCTACATTAATTTAGGAAATCAAGAAGTAATACGTATAGAGTTAAAGCAATGTCCCTAGTAGTCCCAGTAGCAATTTGAAGAAGAATATAGCATAATTACTGGAAATATTTTGTGATTGATGGGTACAGCTTTTGCATCAAAACAATTCATTTCATGTAATCAAATACATATTAAACATTTATTAAATGCGTTAAATGTTCTCCTGTCTCAAGTGAAATGGGAATATAAATTTAGATAAATTATGCTTAATATCATTATCTTTGAGAATTCATCCTTTTTGTTAATATATAGAGAGTATATTTATTTTTCAACTTAATCTTAGTGAACTTATCTTGCAGTGCAATAATTGAATACCGATGAATGATGATTTATTTGTGAATTTGTTAATACATAAACTGGCCACTGAATAAGAAACCTTTTAGTAATAATGAAGTTGGCTTCCTATATCTAAATTGCAGCAAGTACGCAATTCGGCGTAAATTACAGGATGCTTAAAGTGTTTGTTTTGTTTTGGTTTATTTGATTATGGCAAAGAACTCGAGAGCTATCTGCTTAAGGAAAAAGACGCTTTCGTTGAGGACTTTCTAAGGGAAACTGGCTCACGCTTAAATGAATCAATATCCAAAGCATAAAACGCAGCCAGAAGACTTGCATTCAGATTGTTCGGATTGGATGCAGATGGAGTACTACTATTTCTGATTACTTTTTCTAATGTATTCTATGGTTTTCCCAGAAAATTTGAATTCTGGACTTTTATTGCAGCTCTTAATACCATACAGGAAATTTTGAAGTCCTACACAAGTCAAGAGCTTCGAGTTACTGGAATGGGATGCAAAGCGGTCGCGCAAATCTACCATGGGATAATCTATATATGATGAGATAAGCGATTTGAGTTCTGGACTTTTAGATGTCCAAAGAACTTTACCTAGTTCGTTATGACGCTTCTTGATTCAGCCCTGAATAATGGCGGCGCGAAAGGAAATGAGAAATGTCATCTACAAAGCATTCATTTCCTTTCGGATAAAGGTGTATTACGGGTTTCATTGGCCATAATATCCAGATAAACCTCACGACTATTTAGCAGCATCAACTGACATTGTTTTAGGAAATTATATTTCAGATTATGATACTTCTTTCAGACATTTTAGCAGCATACATAAGTCCGTTAGATCATTCCCCCATAATCTTGGATACTCAGCATTTAAGAATGGAGTATCAAGTTACTTTATGACTCCTTGATAAATTATTGAGGCCAGCTGTGATTAATTTGAAAAATAAAATTTTTAATACGTTATGTGGATTTAATATTTTGTTTTTACTGCATTAATATTATGTCTTGTTAAAAATCTTAAAGGTAAGTTTAAAAAATAAATTAAATCTTTGGGTATAATTTTATCCTAAAACACCGGTAGAAAGTTGTCTGTATTTTTCAGGCATTCATTTAACAGTAAGTGGAAAAGGTGTGTTTTAGTGTGTATAATCTTTTTATAAGTCTTTCTAATTCTGTTCTTCCTCATTTTTTACTTCCTTGTACGAAGTAAAAAGGAAGTATTGTAATCGCGAAAAGTTTCAGGCAGCATATTTCAACGAAATATCCATTTTGACCGCTATCGAATGCAATTTAACGATGTTTGGCGTGATATCGTACCTAAGGACAGAATAAAAGACTCTTTTCCCTCCAAAAAAATTCTAAAAACTGCTTTAAAATTAATTCTGAAGAGATTTTCGTGGGTCTGTACGAACTATGTGAGTACGTACGCACGTTCGTATCTCGCATACTCGAAACGAGTAGCCTCAGAAACGTTGAAATATTTTGTATATAGCTGCTATAACATGTAGATGTGCATCGTATTTTGGTTTCAATCGGCGCACCAAACGTATATAAATATATTATATATATATCCACTCTGTTACCCGGCACAGTGATCTCAGTTTCTTTACTCTTATATGTTTGTTAATTGTACATTTTTTGCTTTTAAAATTGTTGAATTATGTTTTTTTATCTTCCGGTTAGGATTTTCTTAATTCTGGAACATTTGTACAATTATCAACAATTTAAAAGCTGTTAAGTGCGGTTTTTAATGGCGGACATTTGTTTACATTTGAAACAGCAGAATAGTAGATTTGTTGCCAATCTAGAGAAAGTAAGCTTTGCAACAACAAAGATAACGCCTTCATTTATTATTGTGAATTGAATCATGCTTAATTCTTTCTGGAATTTCTTTCGAGGAAATGAGTGTCTAAGATTTACTTCGTAATTTTTAGTATAGATATTTTGCGTTTTTATGTATTTTTGCCTTCTCGCGAAGTGAGAACTGACTTAATTGAATGAGAAATACTAAATCGTCTGTGAAAAACATTTAATTTTTGTTTGCTTTGCTTAATTTCTTTTATACATCGTTCTAGTTTTATTATAGTATTTGTATAGAATATGTGGCAACGATTAGAGAATTCTTGAAATGATATAAATTTGTGCATTCAGAGTGTCGATATATTAAACAAAGTGAATTAAAGAGTGCATTTATTTTATTGTGGTTTATGCGCTGTCGCGAAGTAGATTTAAATGAAATTCAAGAAACAAATGCGTATAATTTAATAGTCCGTACAAGGAAGTCATGTGGTGTATACATCAGATTTTTTAACTATGTGAGGCTACATTAGCAAATTCTTTGCAACTCCCTGCGTTAAATATGGTCTGATGTGTTCACACAAAAGACAGTACTGAATGTATCGAATAGTTATCATGCACTTGGAAGTTCTACTGCTTTTTATAATACAATCTTCCCCCCCCCAAAAAAAAGTCTAAGCACCATGAAGGGAGTACTTGTTTTGATGAAATTGAATATGTGTATAGCTCATACACAGATAATAAAATAATTAAAAAAAGAAGGTCATAGTACCTGTTCACGGATCACAATCACCCACTGAGTGTTCAAATTAGCAGTTGGTCGAACCGCCCCTGGCGGCAATGCATGCTTAAATTCGTTGAGGCAAGGAGTGGTAGAGGTTCCTAATGTCATCCTGCGACACATTCTACCAGACATTCATCAGATGTCGCTCCAGATCTGCGATATTTTGTGGTGCCCTAATCCGGTGGCTTACCATATCCCAGACATGCTCGAATGGTGAAAGGTCTGGTGACCTTGTTGGCCAGAGATGAGTATCAACCGCACGGAGACAGTCCAGAGATATGCAAGCGGTATGTGGCCTGGCATTAGCTCCGTGAGATGGTGGACACTACCACGGGAGGTATAAACGTAGCTGTAGTACGTTGAATAGTCGACAATAATACCGTTGGGGGCGGTTCGGGCCTGGCGAACAATCATCCTATCTTGCCCCGCATTTGTGCTCCTTGCCCTTACAGAGCCTTCAATTCGTCGGCAATTTCCTTGTAGAAACCGTTGCTGCCAACATCTTTGCACAGCAGTGTCTGTAACAACAGCTGCAGGTGGCGGCCTATTGCTCGGTATAACCACCCAGCTTAACGCAACCCTACCAAGCGACCACGTTTGAAGTCATTTAGTTGTCTGTAAGATTTTCGATATCGTCGTATTGGCATCTTTAGTTGTTTCTTTACGGAATTACAATGGAAGCAACAAAAAGATAAATTTTCTGCTTCTCTGTTACTGATTTTATACTTTGCGAATTGCGCACTAGAAATGCGCGCTATGATCGCAATTCCTGTTCATTTGCCCTGAAACGTTGATCATTTGCATGTCCGATCAAGATACCAAATTTCGTCACGATCGCAAAAGTCCTTCTTGGTGCTTCGATTTTTTTTTTTTTTTTTTTTTTGCCAAAAGAGTTTACTTTAATGGTAACACAGATATTGTTGTCTTACATCCTTGTTAACAGAAGTATGTCCCTTAGATAGGTAATCAGAATTTTGTTTACATGCGTTCAAGACTTTAACAATATCTCATATAATTCGAACAAAACGTTTCACAAACAGTAGTTTTTGAATGTGCTCCAAAGCATGTTTATGATAAAACCTGTTTCAAACCCCAAAAGTATATTCGTTTTCGGTACCAGAATATTATGTCATTAACCATTATGCAGAACAGTTAAATAATTCGAGAAGCAAGGTCCTGATGAACTCGGCATCGTATATATTTATTTCAACATCGGTATCGTATATATTTATTTGAATTTAATGCCACATGAATGATCACAACATTAATTAAAGGTTTCTTGTTCAATGACCATCTTTCGTATAAAAAAGCTGACATATTAGCAATGACTCATCTGTTTTCTCATTTTTATTTCAGAGAAGAATTAGAGAAAGATCTGCAGTTTTTAGGATTAATAATTCTAGAAAACAGCTTGAAGCCAGAAACAGTGCCTGCGCTAAACATATTGCGTGATGCTAATATCAGATCGATTATGGTCACAGGTACAAAAGATCTTTCAAAGCATTTATTTTCTCAAGATAATATCGAAATGACTTTTTTCTTTATTGCTTGGCTATAAATATTGCTTGTATATATTCCCAAACACAAATACTAAAAACGTTCACGTCCCAATTAAAGTCGTTTTCACGCTATATGATTTGAAATGCCACAAATACACATGGACGTTATATATTATTTTCTATTTCAAAAAATTATTTTCAAAAATGAAGGTTGAATGCGCCAAGAATATTTTAACCATTTTCGAGAATATATTTAAAAAATGTAGTAGGATTACGTTAAAGCTAAATTTATTATTTAATATAGTAATGTATTTATGATTTAATATAATAATATGATTCAATATGATTTACATCTCTTGGTAGTATTTATTTTCAATATTTAGTCAAATATTTTCAATATTTAGAAACTTTACTAATGTATTTCTGTAAAAACACATTGTAATCGTTAATTTTTTAATTCTGAACATCATACATAATATATTTTAATATGCTATTAATTTATTATCATATATTTCATGACAAATCTTGCATTTTCCGCTCATTTTCAGGAGATAATCTGTTGACAGCTATTACCGTAGGAAGGAAATGTGGAATGATAGCAGAAATGGATAAGATAATTACAGTTGAAGCAACTACATCCACTGGCTTAAATACGAGCTCCAAAAGCCATCTAGAAGTTGAATTCAGTTTTGTCAAACTTCCGTTATCGGTGAAAGAAAACCAGGATAATAAAGATGTGAGTAGCATTTGTAAAATGAGTTTTCGTGTAACCTTTCATAAGCACGCTTTTCTGTCCAGTGAGGGAAACGGAGATAATGCTATGCTCTCTTTTTCCGGTTGCGCCTTTAATCTGGTTTCTCGACATTTAAAATTCTATTTTTTGTCTCTTTTAATTTATAAAACACACACCAGAAGTGTAAAAAAAACAAGTACCAAAAATTTTGTTTTAGTTTTTATTCCTATTTACTGCTTTTGCAATTATTGTTACTATATTTTTCTTAATTTTTATATTTCTGGGTCCATAAAACTTTTGCGCTAATATTGTTAATACTGAAATACGTATTTAAAGTAAAAACAGGCACTCAAAGCTCTATTTTATTTTGCTACAATTTTTTTCTTATCTGCAAGTTTATCATATTGATTTTGCAGATTTATTAAAATCTATAAAAATTTATATTTTGTTTTCCTGCGCTTTTGCTTAATAAGTACATTTAATACTTATTACACTGATTCTCAAACATTTTTATGGTGTAACCATTGTTCAGGACACCCTTAAGGTTAAAAATGGCAGGGCTTGTAAGCGTTTATGATTTCCTGATAAATTATTCAGGCTAATTTGAAAAATGAAACCTGTATTAAGAATGTCTCCAAATATGCCAACGTTCTTCTAAAAATACTGCCTTTACTGCCCTAATATTATCTCTTGCTGAAAACCTTGTAGCATTTATTGTTTAAACTAACCGGTTATTTATAACTCAAGTCTTTACTATAACTTCTTCTTTCCGTTTCCTAACTAGAAATGTAAATGAGTTAGAGAGTATTAAGATAATGATTCCCGGACTGTAGGACAGAGCGTATTTCTGCCTCTTAAGCCAACATTGCTTTAATTCTGCCATCTCCTCTAAGCTTGTAATTATTAAGCTTTGCTTTATTTGCTGCCGACATTTAAATTGTTATGCTGGATAGAGAATTGATCCAACTTCGATTTAAATTTATTTGTGCAGTCTGTAACTACGAGCTTACATTTTAATTTAAATTTGAGTACTATTTTGGTTGCATCGCCACAAGTGGTGGTCGATTCTGTTAGCACAGGAAGTGTATTTATGTTCAAAGTTTGTGTTTCAATAAAAAGGTTATTTTAAAACCTTTAAGTTAATTTCAGACAAAGAAATTATTCGCTTTATGCCTGTTAGGAGTTTGAAACTGTTTATGCTCCCAAGGTAAGTCAAACTCTATAACCTGATAAGGTATTTCTCCCGCCTTCTTAACGAGCTTTCGTGGTGTAGTGGTCTGCACGCTCAGCACGTAATTGAGAGGTCCGCGGTTCGATGCCCGGCGAAGGCGTTGCTAATTTTTCATCTTGCCTGGTTTCAAAAAATACCTAAGGGCTCTACAGTGGTGCCCGAACTAAAAATGGTGTTGGATGAGGATTCTCCACACCCAAGATTTAGCGATTGGGTCGCTTAAAACCCCAGTCGCCTTTTAAAAGGGGGAGTATATAAGGTATTTCTCCCGCCTTCTTAATGAGCCTTTGTGGTGTAATGATCTGCATGCTCAGCGCGTAATTGAGAGGTCCGCAGTTCGATTCCCGGCGAAGACGTTGCTAATTTTTCATCTTGCCTGCCTTTAAAAAGTACCTAATGTCTCTACAACCCTAAATATCAATTTAAAAGATAAAATAAAACCCCTAATCATAATAATAAAAGAGTCTGTAAATTTTCTCGAATCAAAATTTCAATCATCTATGAGAGATAGTGAATTCTCAATGTACATCAAAGAAAAGTGTGTGTCTGCACTTTAATTCAGCTTTCTTTGAAAGAATATGAAGATGAAATAGTCTGAAGGATAACTCCAAATTTGTTGAAATGCAGTACTTGTTTCTTGTTTAACGCAATGGCTGAAAACCCGAAAAAACATTATAAAATTAATGACGTTATCAATGATTTGCTCTTCCTGTTCGACACAGTTATTCAGTGATATTTTCTTGAAATTGGAATTCTGAAAGTTTCCTCAGTTACAGTTTAATAATTTCTACATTTTCTTTCACTAAAAAGAAATTGAATAGATTGAAATGTTCCAGTACCGAAAATAAATATCTTACCTAGAAATCACCAACTTAATTCCAGGAAAACATTTCCCTATCTTAAATGGAAAAAATTCCTCTATGGTTTAGTTCATCTGTATTATATAAAATCAAGTGTTTCTGATATTCGCAAAAAGATTTTTAAGAAGATTTAAAATTAGGGTTTTTTATTTATAGGTACTCTGGGAATTCAAGTTTCTTTTTAAAAGCTTTCTATGACCATAAATCCCTAAAGTGTTTGCATTCTGTACCTTGAAGATATTTCTTCTGCTCAGTTAATCTTTGGAAGATACCAAAATGTCATCTCGTTTTCAGTAGAAATCATAATACATTCGAAATATTTATTAATTACGGCAATGTTCCCGTATTTATGATCAAATATACTTAGAGAATATATTACATTCAAGTTTTGTTTCGTTACATAATGTGACTCTAAAGAACTAGATCCAACGGAAGGTTAACAAGGTGTGAAATTTACATGAAAAAAACGCGGGACATTGGAAAAGGAGAAGGGAAATCCTGTCGTCATTGAGACTCCAAATGGCCGACGGCATTTAGCGTGAAATTGCAATGAGCAGTTCCTGACCCATTTTTTCCATAACATTTTTTCCATTTTTCGCTTTATGATTGTAAACATCACGACCCTTTCGTTAAAATAAAGTGTTGCGTTCGTCTCTGCTAGTATTTCCTCGAACAGTTTTCTGTAATCGACGAATTTCTCATAATGCAAGTTATGTAATTATATATACATGTAAACTTATAAGGTATTTCTCCCGCCTTCTTGGCATGCCTTCGTGATGTAGTGATCAGCGCGCTCAAAGCGTATTCGAGAGTTCCGTGATTCGAGTCACGGGGAGGGCATTGCTCATTTTTCATATCTTCTGCTTCGAAATAACCTAATGTCTCTACAAACTTATTAAATAGACTTTGAGCTACTGCCATTTTCTTGGAAAGAATCACTCTGTATATTACGTTCGTTCATTTTCCGTTACATTAAAAAGTTACAAATATAATTACGGTTGAATATGATTGGAATGAAGAAGGGTTAAGAAAGAAATTACATCAATAGCGATTTGAAACTGTTTTCTGAGGTGAAATTAACATTTAGAGATACAGAGGAATACATCCGTTTAATTCATTTTATTTCGTCGTAGTAACTCTGTTTGTAGTAACTATTTTCAGATATTTTATTAGAATGTTTGTTATGATGTGAATTAATAGATAAGAACACATTGAAACGGTTTTTGTTTCACGTATATATTAAACTCATTGATAATATAATGCAATTTTTTAGTAAAAGGCATGCATTTCTGTAACACTTTCTCATAAAAGAGAGTTTGGGCAGAATAACATTCAGTCCTAATTGGTAATACGTCGCTGGGAATAGCTAGAACTTCAGTTTATGCATATCCTAAAATTAATGTTTGGAAATGTTTCACTATTTATGTTATTCGACTCAATTTATTAGTAGTACGATCGAGTGTTTCACTAATTCGTTCATATTCAGAGGTGCCTTAGCTGACATGATGGTGCAAACTCATGTAGAAAGGAAACTACATTTACTTAAACAAATACAAATTTATTAATACTCTGTAATTAATATAACATTTACTCTCAACAATGTGCAACATATACATTTCTTGCAATTTTTAACTTTAACGTTTTAATAGTTAACTTTTTTTAACGTCTCTCTCCTCTCCTCCAGAACATTTTCGTCCAGAACTTTCCATAGAATTGGTAAAAGTAAAATGTTATCCAATGTCTTTTTATTGCTTTTTGTTTGTTTAAAATGAACCTAACGGCATATAGAAATTAGTATTGATTTTTAATACATATTTTATAGCATATAGAAAGCATAACATACATTCTAATAGCATTTTATAAAATATAGAAACGAGTATTAGTTATTAATATATTTTTATATTTCAGGATACACATATACTAGCAATCTCTGAGGCAACATATCATTTTGTAATGGAGGGAAGTTCTTTCGATGTGCTTTGGAATTTGGACAAAACCTTGCTTAATAAAGTATAAAAATTAACATTTTTCTCGGTACTGTAATTGATAAAAAATTTAATGATAATATTAGAACTATTTTTTCTAAGCAATTATGATAAAATCAAGAATACAGATTTCTTAATATGCCATATGATCTGACTAAGTTTGTCATTTTTCCGGAATGAACAAAATTGTTGAAGTAAGCTTCACCACTGAATTACTATAAATATTCACTTCTCTCACTGATATTTGATTTATGAAACCTATATTTATTTATGTACTTCAGTTTATGAAAAATAGGTAAGCCAATATCCGCACTTATCTCTCACATTGCTTTGAAATTTTATTTTATTGCTATATTTTTTTTCTAAACACTGAAAAGGAAATTATCAATCTAAATTATAACATTAAGATTACTTCTACTTTGATCATAAATTCCGTTCAACAATTTACTTCTATTACAAATGGTTTTATGATAAAAATTACAAATACTTAGAATTAAGGCAAAGTTCCTCATGGGTATCTGGTCTGGACGAGTTTTGAAAATGTTTTAACAACAACTGGCTAGTATTACTTAAGTTAGATAACGTATTTCACTTGACTAAAATATTATGTATTTATGTAATAGAAGTACGACTATTATGTAGTTATTAATTAGAAGAAATGAAGAATTTCAACCTAATATTTAGCTCTAATTAACAAACATTTTATCGTTGATAGCAGTCTCTATGCGTTAGAAGTATGATGCTAACTGGATGTTGCGATAGTACTTGGTCGAAAGAACAGAGGTGAGGATCGTTTTCTTAAGCTTCCGATAGGGTTAGATTTGGATTATGTAGATTAGACAGAGCATGTCATAACAATTATGAAAACTGAAATTTAATTTTTGAATGAAAAGCTATTCAAGCACTTTTTGCCTCTTTTTATTTTACATCATGCACAAAGCGTTCCAGAACACCACGTACAAATTTGGTGGAGAGGTAATCAGTAGAAAAGTATCAGAAGGCATCAGAATCACATAGGAAAGCAAGGTCCCAGATGCCGCCGTCAGTTGATAAAAAGACATAAAGACAAAGCAAGCATACAATGCAGAAAGCAGCATTAAGCATTTTATTAGACGAAAAAATAATAAAGTGGTTAGAAGCATTTCGAGAGGTGTTTTGAATTCCGCCCATCGATACTAATGCACAAATGATACCTATGCTAAATGGATTGGCGAGCATTTTCAAAATGCCGAACGTTTCGCGGATCGAACCAGCAGCGATGGCGATTCTTGCAACAAGGTCCATTTCGTAGACACCTGCCTTCATGGCAACCCAAAATTAAAAATCAAGAAGCGATAAATCTTGGGATATTGTAAGCCATGCGACGAGACGAACTAGCCTAACAAACTTCCAAATGTCTTGTCCAGATGGTCACGTAGGAGAATTTTCCATAATCAGACGAAGCCCCAGCGCGTTGAATCCACATTCGGCGTGTAATTTTCACAAGCGCATCCAGCAGCAATTTCGGGAGAGCCAATTCCTGAAAAATGAGATACTTGTGAGCTTTCATTCGGCGATATAAGATATATGGGCCGACCAAACAGTCAGCCATGATTCCTGCCCACGTATTAACAGCAAAACTGTTTGTGTGGCACCTGGTCTGGTTTTGTGAGGATTGTCTATGGCTCCACACGTGTGCGCATTTTGGTTAGTGAACTCTTCCTCACACGTAAAGGACGCTTCATCAGTGAGTAAAATAGAACATGGGAATTGCGGTTCGAATACACATTTTTGTAGAAACCACTATAAAAATGCAACACGTCGTAGACAATCTTCTGCCTGCAGTGCTTGGATTCTTTGGAGATGAGAAGAGTGTAAGCCTTCGCTTTGCAGAAAATGCCACACAGCTGATGCGGATGCAGTTGTTGAGTGCACCTACTCTGATGCGGGGATTTCGGCAGATAAAGGCTTAAAAAGATACGAATGATAAAAAATTAGCAAAAATTCTAGTTTCCGAACATCGATTTCGTTTCAAGATTCGCTGTATTTGAGGATTCAGATGTCCATTCCCTATATATTGCACTAAACCACGCATCGTTAATGTTTTCAAAATATGTGAGCAATCTTAAATTTGGTATCAGTTCCTTATTAAACTAAAATATATTAATTGCAAATAAGGTGACAACTGCGCCTTTTATTTGAGTATAAAATAAGCATTCCAAAAAGATAAAATCTGAAAATACGGATATCCACTGATTGATATCTAAAAATATGTTATAACAAATGATAAATTTCTATAATTGAAGACGAACCTTGCTTTTCAAAGTAATGGAAACATCTTATTTGATTATCAGTTATAACTTTAAAATTAATCTCAACTTTGTTATATCAACTTTGTTAAGTATTTATTTCATATAAAATCTAGCAAGCAAATGTTTTACTGTCAAGCCTCGATTTAGACATTACGATTGCGGCATTATCAACAAGCAGAATCAAGTACCGCAATGGTGTAAATGTTAAGGTGTAATCAATTAAATACATGTTATTAATGATTTAATGGATTCGTCTAATGTTTTCAACAAATGCAAATTGCTTATGAATATTTAAGGCTGTATCTTTATATTGTTTTTATTATCTGTAAACCACATATTCTGCTGAATTGTTTAAAAATGTAAATGCTCTTGTAAATGTAACCCTTAGTTTTAATATACATCAGATACTCCTGAAAGGGACTATATTTGCTCGAATGTTACCTGATCAGAAACTTCACCTTGTCGAAGCTCTGCAGAATCTTGGGTAAGTATTGAACAGTAATCCTGATATTTATAAACATGTTATGATCCTTACTTTCTGAATGCCTTCGTCTAGTACGCACACTGTCCCCTGTAAGAATTAGTTAAGATAATTTTTAACGCTTTAGGATACGTAATTTTTAGATGATTTTATTTTAGAAACTGTGTTCTATTCGTTATTTGGTTAGCTATGCTTTAACCTGTAAGGATTATGTTAATTTTATTAGCAGTTAAATTTTAAGTTAAAGTTCCTTTCCTGTCAAATTCTTAACTTGAACTTACTACTTCCAGCCAGTACGTAGTTTTGGAATCACTCTAAATACTTAATGAGGAGGAGCGGTATTTAACCCGCGAAGTCTACTTGCTGAGTTAGAGAGAATCAGAGTTTCTGATTTGCGCGCGTGTGCCTTTGGGCTACTCTCTCTCTAAGTTGTTATTACGCTAGGACGTACTCAGGCCACTTGATAAGCTTCGTAGTCAAATAGAGTTAAGGGGCCAACTCGATTAGAATCTTGATAGCTTCGGCTATATCTCTTTAGTTAATCTTGGTTTTAGTTTATTTCTTAGTCTCTTAAGTTCAAGCCCAAGTGTCGGTTTTTATTGTACACTCCAAGACGGAGTTTTGTTAACTTTTATTGGAATAATAAATAATAACCCTTCCATCTTGTTACACGAACTTAACCGATAATTCGGTAACAAGTTCTTAAGATTCGTCACTTTCTACAGTTTCTGAGAAATACACTAGTGAGAATCTTACAAGCCTTAAAATTGAAAACAAACAAAAATATTTAGTTACTATTCAGTTTATTTCGTTGCATGTCTGATGAAAAGGTAGTTTAACTCACATTTACTATTATGTTTTACATACTTTAAATAAGAAGGATATTACAACTGAAGAACTATAATATTATGTAAACAATTTAAATTTTGCAGTTTTATAGCGTGAAAATGTAAAAATTATAGAATAGCGTAAAGAGAAGTACGTATCAATCATATTTTACAAACAATAACGTGTATGTTTTATAAATAGGTAGTAATACATAAGTCTATCTTAATTTTAAGATAAAATTTAGATCATTATGTCAAGCATCGGGTATGATAAAGTAATAAATTTAAACACAAAAAAATACATATTCTCTTTGTGTCAAGAATTAGTTTTTGTAGTTAACCAGTCTACAGTGTGTCCTTCACATTATAAACGTTTAAAATGAAAATTTTGAATTTTATCTCAAATGAATTTGCGAATTTTATGTAAAATTCATTAAAAATGAGGTTTCTGCCCCTAAAAAAGTGTAGAAAAATAAGCCATTTCCATTTTATTACCTAAACTACCCGTTTAACATATAGTATTATGCATCTTTTTCTACAATCAAGGGCCAAACCAAAATTTAAAAAGAGATCGCGCATTATTTTAAATAAAACATATTCTTAAATACGTACTATTATAACAACGTAAATATAATCTATGGTTTCTACTCCTACCATTAACTATCGAAGATCATAACTATCTATTTATAAAGAATTCTCTTCTTCCTTACAGCATGCTAATCGTGGTTTAATTAGAAACAGTCAGGTTAGCAGTCGTGAAATCTGAAACTAGAATCCCAACGAAGGCATTGCCGATTTTTTCATATTTCATTCTCCAAAAAACAACTAATGACGTTACAGATTATACGAAAAACAAATATTATCTAAAATGGCTTCTTCTGATTTTCTTAAAGGGGTCTAATGTAATCAAAATCGTAAAAACAACCTTGTATTTAGCGTAAGTATATTGAAACACTCAATCGATTTCGAGGGCAGCTAAAGGTCCCTCCTCATCAGAAGAAAGAAATACATAGAAAGAAAGAAGAAAAATAAAGGGGAAGGAGTCTCAGAAACACGTGGTCCTTATCAGCACTGCACGTGATTATAACCGGATTTTTAATCAGAGTTACACTGGCCGCCTACTTTTACTGAGCCAGGCTATCTGATCAAACATGTAACACAAAGGACAAGAAAAATTAGCGAAGTTAAAAATAGGGAGCGAGGGGCAACTGCACCTTCACGCTCAAAATCTGAACTTCGAATAATGGAAAGCAACCACTGAACGGATTTTTATACCCTCTGGTAGTACCAAACGCGAGGAGGTAACGCCATCTATCGGCAAAAATAGTAACTGAATTAAGATAGTAGAATTTTAAAGGCATTAGGAAAGACTGGATTGGACTTAAAATCATTAACTAATGCCTTTAAAATTCTACTATCTTAATTCAGTTACTATTTTTGCCGATAGATGGCGTCCTTCCTAATGCCTTTAAAATTCTACTATCTTGATTCAGTTACTATTTTTGCCGATAGATGGCGTTACCTCCTCGCGTTTGGTACTACCAGAGGGTATTAAAATCCGTTCAGTGGTTGCTTTCCATTATTCGAAGTTCAGATTTTGAGCGTGAAGGTGCAGTTGCCACTAGCTCCCTATTTTTAACTTCGCTAATTTTTCTTGTCCTCTGTGTTACATGTTTGATCAGATAGCCTGGCTCAGTAAAAGTAGGCGGCCAGTGTAACTCTGATTAAAAATCCGGTTATAACCACGTGCAGTGCTGATAAGGACGTGTTTCTGAGACTCCTTCCCCTTTATTTTTCTTTCTCCTGATGAGGAGGGACCTTTAGCTGCCCTCCAAATCGATTGAGCGTTTCAATATACTTACGCTAAATACAAGGTTGTTTTTAGGATTTTGATTGTCACATTAACGTGCTTCTCTTCTAGTCGGTCCTAATGTAGTTAATATATTCTTAATATTTAATGGGAAGAACACGACAGTGAAGATTTTAAGGAACATAAGAATTATTCAAAACGTCTTGTGGATTATTTTGGATTTTCTTCCTTTTATTCATAGTAATTGTGAAATTACGCTTTACAAAAACTGCTTAATAGAATAAAATTTCGCGTAATTGTAAATAATTTCATACCAGGAAGAACTACTTTATCAAAAATGAGTGGCTGAGGATGTTTTCCACTAACATAGAACTGCTTATGCCAACTATCTTTTAAGTAAAAATTCAAATTAGGACTAAAATTTTGGAGATATTCCTATTTAAACTAAACATATTGTAAAAATTGCAAAGATAAAGCAAATTTCTTTTTATATATTATAAATTACTTCTTCCGCCTTCTTAGCATGCCCTTCGTGGTGTAATGGTCAACAGATTTTGCGCGTATTTCGAGAGGTCCAGGGTTCGAGTCCTGGCGAGAGCATTGCCCATTTTTCACATCCCTGCTTTCAAAAAATACATAATGTCTCTACAACATGTATATTCAGTTATAAAACAGTTCTCCATACATTTAGGTTTTTAAGTACCTGTACCTAAATTTAAAATTTAAGTACGTTTTTCGGCTAGCGGTCAAAAATGGTTAATTATTTTCACAACTTATTTGCCCGTCACTACAATATAATTTTTTAACATTTTCATTAAATACTGACTTGAAGGTAAATAAATTAATGAAATCATTTCCTATCCATTAAATTCAGAAAAAGGTCGAAACAAGATAAATGAATATACTTATATGCTTGAAGGTGTCTCAGCTAAATGTTGCATGTAAATAGTTCGCATTTCTTACTGAATAAAATTTCATTACTCTTCACAAGCTAAAATTGTGATTTGTTTTAATTTATTCATTCTTAACATCGCAATAAATCGATGTTCGCATAATAACGTCTTCTGAGAGTTCAAAATACATTACACGTATTGAACTTTACAGTATATAAGTGAAATAAAAAAATATGCACAGGAAATTTATTGATTAATGTATATTATATTAATTTTTTAGGTATCAAGTTGGCATGTGCGGTGACGGAGCAAACGACTGCGGAGCTCTTAAAACAGCTCACACTGGTGTATCTCTGTCTGTAGCCGAAGCATCAGTTGCTGCTCCATTCACGTCTTCACAGCATAACATTCAGTGTATTCCCACAATTATCAGGTCAGCTCTCCGTGTACAAATGTTTATTTAGCTTATTGATATTCGAATTTATGGAACTAATTTATATTGTTTGTGTTTCTTTCATATATATTTGGGAATTAAAATGTGGAATATTATGTGAATTCAAATAAGAAAAATACTGAAAGCAATTTAGATCACCAAAACTAAAGTAAGAAAAGCATTCGGAGTAAAAATAAATCTTCGTCGTTTGAAGAAAAATGGTGCCCACTTAACTTTATTAAAGTTGTCTGAAATAAAACGTCATACAATAAGGCTCGGCATCTGCTAACAACATGAATTTTGAAATATTAGAAATTTTGTATCTGGCATCATACATTTTTTTCGTGAGCAAAATGTCGAGTTTTGAGCCAAATGAGTGTCATTTGTGGGAACTTTTGATTTACTTCTTTAATTTAAAGAAATCTGCAGCTGAAGCGCATCGATTGCTTGTAAAAGCATATGATGAGGTTGCGTAAAGAGTGAGAGAAGTTGTGGTGAGTGCTTTTTAAAGTTTAATTTGACTTGAAGACAAAGAACACAGCCGAAAGATGAAAGTGTATGAAGACACGGAGTTAGAAGCATTATTGGATGAAGATTCGTGCCAAACGCAAGTAGATCTTGCACTTTCATTAGAAATGACTGAATAAGCAGTTTCATACGGTTTAAAATCATTGGAAATGATCCAAAAGCAAGGAAATTCGGTTATATATGAATTGAAGCCGAGAAACGTTGAACCTCACTTTTTTACACGTGAAAAGCTGCTTGCCAAGCATAAGCGAAACCTTTTTTTCATCTTACTGTCGCTGGTGATGAAACATGGATCCGCTGCAATAATTCAAAGAAAGCGAAATCATGGGGAGCCATGCTACCACCTAGCCATCCTTTATCATCGACAGCCAAACCAAATAACCACGGGATAATTATCCTGCTATGAATGACATTTATTCCATGAATTTCCATATCCACTATGTTATATGCTGTAATCAACATTGTATCATGTGTCAATACATTGTATCATGTTGCTCAAACTGAACAAAATCATCACTGAGGGACAATACCGAATCTCCTGCATGATAACTCTCACCCACATGTTCTAACACCGGTCAAAACCTACTCGAAAACACCCAAACGTGAAGTTTTCCCTCACCTGCTGTATTCACCAGACCTTCTAATTACTATTTGCTCCTTCTAATTACTATCTGCTTCGATTGATGGCACATGACCTGTCTGAACAGAGCTTCGTATCATATGAAGATACCAAAAATTAGGTTGATTTGTGGATAGCCTCGAAAGATGAAACGTTCTTCTGAGGCGGTATTCGTATGCTGCCGGAAAGATAGGGAAAAGTAGTATCTACGGATGGACACTATTTTGAATAAAACATAACGTACCTTTCTTTAACAATAAATGACCAATTTTCGATAAAAATGGCGGAAGCTTATTTGTATTCCCGATAGAAAAGAAAAGGGTTTCGATGAGAACTAAATTATATTTGTAAAGCAGCAAAAAGCTGAAAGTGCAGGCTGTAAGTTTGCTTTCCTTTCCAATGCTTTGTGTAAAACGAAGGTGCTGAACAACTCTGCCTTCTGTGTGGACAGCGTAATGAATGTAAACGTTTTAATAACGTTTAAAATGCTAAAAGTTTAAACGTCTTAAATGTCGAGAGCTTATGTCCGTGCCGATAATAATGTGAGCTATAGGTAGCTATCTCACCCTATAAGAGTTTTTCTAATATCTCTGTCAGTTTATAACCATTAAGTATTAGATGGCAGAGATATCTGGGCAAACGTAGTAAGGCAAAACCTTGTAAATGAGTCTTAATGATTTTATTATATATGGGTTACAGAGATCCAAGTCACCCATTGACAGAAGGAATAAGAACTAGACAAAGGTAAGAAATGCGCTACTTAATGTATGGAGAAAAATACCCATGAAAGGAAAATTAAAAAGATGAGCAAAAAGCAAAACAGTTAGAAGTAACTCTAACATCTTGTTGCTGATATAAATCTGTAGGCAATAATTCTTAGGGTTAAGTAAAAATATGCCTTAGGGTTAAGTAAATAATTCTTAGGGTTAAGTAAATATGTTTATCCATTTATAAAGGTTGTACAATCAGTATAAAATTACTTTCATATTTCCTTTTATTTTATTAGAATTTGCTTTTCACTCTTGTTTGAGAATGAATACAATAGCAATGGAACTTTTAAATCTCAAAAGTTCTGCTGTGTTTGAGAGTCACTTTAAAGACAAATGTTAGGAAATCAAACACTAAACTCTGATGCGCAGGTACTATAGAAGGAATTAAGGTATTGATTAAAGAATTAAGATACTGATATTCTTTTTTTATCATTTTATATACGCATGCTATGGTTAGCATATCAGTCTGGAAAAGTGACCCATGGCTTTCTCCCTCAAAATAATGATAATTTTTCTAAAACGCTCATGTAGTCTAAAATTGAATTTTGCTTACATTTAAACATAAGGTCATTAGAAGTAAAACCATACTGCTACATCGCCTTTTTCTTTCTTTTTGTGTACTCCAGTAAGAGCACACTATTTCCAATTGTTTATTGCTATTTATTCCTAAATTGCTACTTTTTTATTTTTGGAAATATTTACTTTCATATAATAAATCCTAATATAAAATACTGAATTATAAATTTTGCCGATTTAATTATTGATTATATTTATTTAAAAAGAGGAATTTTTCATTTCTAATTAGATTTTCCACTTTGTTGCTCGAGAGCTTGCTTTTTAATTTTTCCTTACATAATACAATTGCATGCTGTAAGAAGATAATTAAGTCAATTTTTTATTTTAAACATTAGAAGTGTGATATATGAAGAACTATTTTTCTCTGCAATTCTCATTTTTGAATGAAATGTTTTATTGAAGATGTTTACATTAGTTAAGTTTAAAAAACATATCAGGCAAGTCATAAAGTACAAGCAGTGTACAATCTGTTATACAAAGTACATCAAAGCTTACAATAGGTTGAGAACCTAAGTGGTAAAATTAGTTTTTTTTTTTTTTTTTTTGTTTGTTTGTTTTGTTTGTTTTAGTGAAGGGCGAGCAGCTTTAGTATCTGTTTTCGATGCATTTCGATATATGGTGTGTTATAGTTTTATCTTCCTTATCGCAGTTCTTTGGTTATTTTGGGTAAGTCTGTTATTGTTTCATTAATACTTTCACAGCAGTACTTTAAAATGAAATAAGTATTTATACATTTCTTCATTATAAGGACGGACAAAGATGTTCGGATGGGGCTTTCGTCTTGATTGATGTTGTCCTTAATTTAGTTCCTCCCTTTTTAAGTAAGTAAATTTTATATTCATAACTAGTATAATTATGTGACAAGGGATTTTGTTTGTGACAGCTTTATGTAGGCACTAAATACGTGCAAATAAACATGTGATGAGTTTTGTACACCATATATGTACTAGTTATATTCTCTTATTAAATACTAAATACGACAAAAAAATAGTTCCCTTTTCAGGGATACTGAAGTTTAGAATAAATGACATAGATTTTATTCTGTCACTGTTGTTTTGTCGGAAAAACTAATTTTAATGATTGATGAAAAGATTCATAAACTATAGCATTTTAAATTGCAATCAAAGACAACAATTAAATTCTCACGGACATATTCACGAAAAATCGCCTCAAATATATGGCTCCTATTCATTATCAGAAATAATGTAGAATTACAAATCGCATTAAGATTGTAGAGACATTAGGACTTTTTTGGTGAAAAATGAGCAATTGCCTTCATCGGAAATCGAACCACGGACCTCTGGAATACCGCCCAGCGTGCAGAACAATTACACCACGAAGGCACGCTATGAAGGCGGGAGAAATACCTTATGAGATCATGATCAAGAAAAAGGTGTAAATTTTAAAATTAAACGTTCTTTCGTGTTAACATAGGCATAGTATAAAACCTGAACAATACGTCGACTGCTTTCTAGTGAGTTTTCAATTATTGCCATTCATTAATTTCGAATTAGAAATGTAAAGCCTTTCTTATCATCCATTCGAGGCTAAATTCAGCTGCAGCATTAGAATAGTTCTAAAATTAAACAGTATTAAATAGAAAGCTTGTAAATAACTTGATTTCAGTTTAATCATAAAATAAGTTAGGTCCATGTTCCGTAAAAACTGTAAGTGATTTAGTAAAAACATTTGAAGAAACTAGATACGCATGTGATAGATCGCGATTTGGACGACTTTGTGTTCTTGTTGAAGTTGTTGCGAAAGTGCATAATACGATTACTGCAGGTTCATTGCATACTGCAATAAGTGTTTCTCGCAGTTTAAATGTATTGGAAACCATAGTCCTCAAGTTTCTGTGTTCTGTTCTGCGGAGATTTCCTCATCAATTCCGGCGCGTTTAAATATTTCAACCAGGAGATGAGCAGCATGCTGACTTTAAGAATTTTTTCCTTATCAGATATGGTGAAGATAGCAGGTGGGCTCTGCAGATAGTACAGATGGATGAGGCACTTTTCCCATTAACTGAGAAAATGAACTCCAAAAACTGCGTTCATAAGCCAACGAAAATCCTGATGGTGTGGCACCAGCGCCTTTACACAAAAAGAAACTGTGGCGCGACATCGTAAGCACCTTCGTTCTCAGTTTATATTTCTTCGAAGATGTCTCTTCTACAGGTATAAAAATGTGCTCCATCTTAAATGCTCGATATAACCATGATGCAGAATTGCGTAATTATAGAATTGCAGCAGCGAAATGTCGCTAAAGACATTATATGGATGGAAGAAGGCTATCTTCTATATGTCGCCACATATGTTCCGCAAGTGTTGCAACAGTACTTTAGAGATCGAGTAATCTCCCGCAACCTTGCAGTGTTCCGGCCACCGCAATCCCCCCTGACCTCACTCGGATGGATTTCTGGTTTTGGGGTTTCCTGAAATTCGAGGTGTACACATTAAATCAAGTAGATTTGCCATAATTGAAAGATGCCATAAAACGTGACGTTATACAGATTCCTCCTGCGATGCTTCATTCGCCACTGTTGTGAAGAATTTCCTGCACCCAGCGGTTTGTTTTAAGAACCCAAAAGCGCAAAATTTATACGAAAAGTATCAAGTGATTTTACAAGTATTCCATTACATTGGAGACATTTTATTCCTCTTTATGATTCTCTCTTTGTTAAATAAGCGGCAGTTGAATTCGTGTGACTAAAGGCTTCGTTCATAGAAAGCTCAACTTTATTCGTGTTCTTTTAGCCTTACTTGAGACGTTTAATTTTCATTTAACCGCTGTAATAAAATCCTCCAATTATCATGAGTTCCGTTGGAAACATTTCCGTATCGTCCACGAATGTGAGCACTTTGAAAACTTGTAATTCCAACAGAAACTTTTTCCTTCTCCCTTGATGTGTTTTTATTGGTCCTTTTACAATGTTCTTCTTTGCAAATGTTTTACCCCGGTAATTTTCGTCCCAACTCCATTTATGGTTTTTCAATGCGCGTATCAATTTGAGCAGAAAAAATGTGGGTGTTACCTTTCGAAATTTTCGAAATGTGTTCACTGTAAGCGTAGCCGGGAGAGCTCTATTGTTTTAAGTCATATATTATTACAGGCAATATTGACAGCTTACCTTCAAATAATAACATCTGGAATTTCATTTCGATTGGTTGAGTGAAAAGACCGCTAGGGGTTCATATATACGAGAAGTTTTTATGACCTTTCTATATTTTAAATTACTCAACGCAAATAAAAACTCATTTAATCTGCGTAAAGATAAATATACTTATTATATTATAAAAGAATTTGGAATATAATTTAAAGTTTTCAAAACAATGTCAAAATATATGATTTCATTTTTAACTGCTTTTTAAAAAATGTAAATTTGTCGAAATTTTCCTTGCGATAAATGCATGGAATATGTTCGGCTATTTGAAAAATCATTATCCTATTATACTAAACAGCTATAGCAAAATGAAAGGAAAATAGCTGTTCTTAAAAGTGGAAAATTTTCTCTTATTGTTTCTGCGGAGGATACAATTATCCTGTTTCTTTTATCATGCCACTATCATTGCATAAATTTCATCAAATCGAATAAAGCCATCAAAGTCTTATTGATTTTTCTTTCTTTTTGGCTTGCTTGGATTCTCAGAGTGGCCTATTTATAGATGGTCGTTCGCACTTTATGGAAAGTGTTTCGATAATTAGTTTTTATCCTTAAAGGGCGTATTTCTTCCTTTGATTTGTTTCTGTCTGATAGCCTTGAATTTTGGATCTAGCTTTAGCTCGAATTTTCCATGAAAGTAAACCTTTTCTTGGCTTTATTCATGGCAATTTTATCGCACTCATCAGGAGTTGTTTTCCGTTCAGTGTTCTTGCATGCCATTTTTATAAGGTTTGTTTTAAGAACCCAAAAGCGCAAAATTCATACGAGAAATATCAAGTGAGTTTACAAGTATTCCATTACATGGGAAACATTTTATTCCTCTTTATGATTATGTCTTTGTTAAATAAGCGGCAGTTGAATTCGTGTGGCTAAAGGCTTCGTTCATAGAAAGCTCAACTTTATTTGTGTCCTTTTAGCCTTACTTGAGACGTTTAATTTTCATTTAACCGCTGTAATAAAATCTTGCAATTATCATGAGTTCCGTTGGGAACATTTCCGTATATTGACGAAGTCATTTCATACAGTCATTTTCGTGAGTTGAGCAAAGAAAATTGATCTTTGCTCTCTGTTTAAATTAATTTAATCTCTGCTCTTTGTTTTATTGTACCCATGCCTCAACGAGTGTTACCATAAATTTCCATGTATCAACAGCTAGATGTTTTTCATATAATTTTCTAAAATTTGTTTTCCTTTCCTTAATATACTATGACAAAAGCAGATGAACTTTATGACTAAACACCTTTTTAACTTCAAATCCTTATGAATGATTTTACTTACAGTGCCAGAAGATATTCCAGTTCCGATACAATGGACCCTTGAGTAGCTGAATTTTCTTTCAGGATCAGAAACTTCACTTTCTTGATATTTACTTGCATTCAAACGTCATAGCAAGCGATTTTGAAGCCTTTTCTTTATTTTTACTTTCAGCTAGACGTGTTTTCGCTTTAAAATTTACTATGGCAAAATAAATCTCTTTGAAATGGAATAACATTGATTTTTACGCATCTTTGCAATTTGTTGATACAAATGTATTTCCTCAGAAAGTGCATTTGTCAGATTTTAGTGTAGCTTGAATTTTTACCCCGTAGAGAAACTCCTCACTTGGTATTTTCCAACCCCAGACTGCAGCGAAAATGGAAAGAGGAGATTTATGACCTAAATTGACACGCTGTTTCCAGAGCGGGGCTGTCTGTATTAGTATCACACAAAAAGAGTTCACTTTAAAAGACTGGAAAAGGAACGCACTTCTACTTTCCTCTCAGACAGCATGGCAATGGGAACTACTGCTCGTTTGAAAGCATGCCTTTAGAGGATCGACTTTGTTAATTATCAGATATGAGACTAGGAACCACAAAACAAATTCTCCTGGGGGAGTGACGCGGTGTCCCCAACATTTTTGAGTGCGTTAAGTAAGCCGTTCAAGCCGATTTGGTGCAAATTTTTAAATAGATCATGATAACTCGTGAAAAAGCGTAAAGAAACATTTCTTTCGTAACCTGAGGCCAGTTTCAGAGGCATAAAGTTTATCTTTGGAATTAAAAAGATTACAAATAATATTTCATTTTTGTATGACAATAAAGTTGATAAAGTGCGAACGACCTTCTGGAAATATAAAATTTTTTATCCAATACATTTTTTTCCATTCCTTCCAGATTTTACATCAAACACATAAAAACTAATGATTTCAAATTAGATCATATTACATTTAAATAAAAATTTTACCAATATGTGCTAATTTTTTAAAATAAATAAATGAAACCGTAAACGAAATGCTCTATATTTTTCCCAAACTTAATCACAAAACAAGTAAAAAATAAGATGTTATAACGGAAAAATGAAAAATATCGAACTGAATGGCATTTCTGTCTATCATTAACCAGCAAATTAAAGATTTTGACGACTATCGATTAGATGCCCTCTTATATGAATTAATTACAAAGTTATTGCTTTTAATTTAGGATAATTCCACTGGTTTAATGAAAGTTATAGCCTTTATTTTTTATAGTTGGTGCAACTTCCGCTTTTCCAAAACTGGCAAAGAGGGCTCCAACAAGAAGTCTTGTCAGCATCCTTCCATTATTTTCGATTTTTTCATTCATTGTACTTCAAACGGCAATCTATTTAATAGCTTATAAATACTGTCTTTCTCAACCTTGGTAAGTATTAGTGCAGCTCACTCCAGTTACAACATAGCACAAGGCAATGTTCTTCAAACATTGTCTACTCAAATTATAAAATTATATTTTAAAATCTAAAACTTTTGTATTTGTGAAATCGCTTCTATTCTGAAGAACATAAATGATAAAATTTGTGGCCATAAATGATGAATAAACACATAATAAACATAAATGATGTGGACACCTCATAACCTAACAGCCTGTTAAATTATACACAATTTATTTTTTGCTGCACTTCATTTAAACTCATTTCCTTCAATTTCATTAGAGATATATTTCTTATTCAATCAATTCATCGCGCCACATCTCACATCGCGCAAGGAAAAAATGCATTAAAACTCAAAACATCTTCATTAAAAATTGTACATTACAGAAAATTATAAAACAAAACATAAAATAAAAACAGTTTAAAAAACAATTTTTTATGATTCAAATGGTGTCCGCCGATAACATCGCGGCAAAAACATCGCTGACAAAAATGTCGCGAAGAAAACATTGCAAGACGAAAACGTCGTGCTACAAAACATCGGGGGAGAAAACATCGCAGTTTTAAAACATCGTGGTACAAAACATCGTCGTCGAAAATATCATGGTAAAAAATAAAGTATCTACAAATCATCGCATGATGATAACATCGCAGACATGCTTTTTTCAGGTTTTAATAATTGTAAATAGATATTCCATAATGATTTGTGACTGTAAGAATTCCTATTCCAACCCTGTAAGAGGTTAAATCTCAAGGCTTCTCATAACACAGTCTAAAGCGTTTCTGACATAAAGTATTAATCTTCATGATGTCGTGATCATATTCATAGACAACTAGTTAACTTTTATCAATAAATAGGAAATAATAAGGCGTATACATTATTATACAAATATTTATTTGCCTTAACGCATTCTTGAAAATGAAATTTTAATATGTAGAATGTGCAACTGACAGTGGTGCTATTACCGATCCACTAATTAGTATTAATTCGAAACAGAACGAATTCTCGAATCTATCGAATTTCAAAGTATATCCTTTCATATAAGAAATGTAGTTAAGCAAAACAAGAGAACTATTACTCAATATTAAAAGTTAATAAAGTTAATTAAAGTAAAACTGAAATCTACATTTAATACGAAAAAATTTCGCTTTCTAAAATCTCAAATTTCGTTGCACTAAATTCGTTCCTTTCGTTGCGACTAGAAGTTTTGAGTATACCATTTTCATTACCAGTGATGATTTAATATATCATACTTAACATTTTTAATAACTATAAAACAACATAATAAGCATTTTTAATAACATTTTGAAACAATAGAACACTTATTATATTTTATAAAAACCTAATAATACCAAATTTATACAAAAATATCACTGCGAGTCCTCCGTCGAGAATCATTAGCAATAGTAAGGTGTTTTCAGTAGCTGCCATAGCATTGTAATTTGAATTGGCTCCCAGATAGGTTAGTTGGAGTGGTTAGTATCGCTGACTGCCGTACCTGAGCCCGGGCTCGAATATTTCAGAAGAGATGATTGTTTGTAAACATGTATGTAACTGAGTCATTTCAATTCGAATTTATTTTGCCTAAAATATTTCTAATAAATTAGCTGCCAAATAAGGAAATTAAAAAAATCGGAAAACAATAGTGCCAAAAATTCAAAGCGTCTCCTGACTGACGTTTAAATTTTAGTGAAAACTCTCTTCTAGACATTATGAGTCATAAATGTAAATGAATAGATTTCTGAAAACGAATTAAAATATTTCACACAGACTCCTGCAATTAATAACGCATCGCGCATTGCATATTTCTACAATGTTTCTTAAGTATATATTTAATACGATAAAACACATTTTACTTCAGATTTTTAACTAAATTTCTTTTCAGTAACTACGAATAAAATAGATATTGTTTTCTTTTAACAGGTACGAGCCTTTCAAATTCGATAAAGAAAATCCCCTTGATTCAGAAGCGTCATATTCTGGTACTACAGTACTGAAAATGAATATGATGTCTTATGTTGTAGCTTCTATTATATTTGTCTCAGGAGCACCTTACAAAAAGCACTTCTTTTCAAACAGTAAGTTAGGTTTAGATATGTATACCATTTATATAGTATATGGAATTTTAGTCTCTGTTATACTTTAAGACAGAAATAATGTACAGATCCTGCCTAGGAGAAATATTATTATAAGTGTTTTTAATATTTTTGGCAGTTATAAGTTTATAGTCTCTTTAAAAACCAAAAGTAATTTTCTGTAATGAATCTATTGAAGTAATGTTTTAAGCCTATGTTCTCTTCTTTCTTCAGCCTGTTCCGATGGTATTATCATCTATGTTGCTCATTTAGGTTAAATTATTTTAACCATTAAATGGAGTTTCTAGACCCACTGGTGTACCTGATGAGTGTGCTGCATATGAATAAATATATGTACTTCAGTAAGATCTGGGTTTTTACTAAATTTCAAATATTTAACAAATTTTTACATCCAGAAATCGGAAATATTCTTTTTTCCGATTAAAAAAGCTTTCATATGCGTCATCATGGCGACTAATTTTTGAAAGGCTGCTTCGCGAAACTTCCTTGATTTCGAAAGGTAAGGAGATTTCGAGCCTAGCTCTTATTTAGTTAATGTTTTAAACTACACAAATTATTAAAATTTGATCTTATAATTAAGAAATTTGTTTAATGGATTCTTCAAAGGTTTACAGATAGTGACTATTCTTTCTTGAACATAAACATGAAATTTAATAAAACATAACATGAAATTTTATGAAATTAACTGCAATGAAAACGCACAAACATTCCAAGAGTTTATTTAAAACTTCGATTGCAGTCAGTTCTCAGTTCTTTTAGAAGCTTAGTATGTTTATCTACAAAGTAAATTATTATATCTAAATAAACCTGAAACTTTATACCGTTTCAATATTGAAAATTTTGAACGGTATCAACCGTTCCAATATTTAAAATTTTTTTCAAAAAATAAAAACTTAACATTTTGAAATTTTAAATTTTAGAAAAGGATTTATTATTTATATCACTTCATATACATTTAAGAATAGTTCAGGCTTAAAATTAAGGAAAATTTGTAAGAGGCAGAGCTAAGCCCAATTTCAATATTGGGAAGTGGTATTTTTAACCACCTCATGTTTTTACAGCCTAAGTGCGCTGTTCAAAAATGCAGAGCATAATAACACGCAGATATTTCACACAATTTCAATCTAGAATAATGTAAAAAATAAAAAAAAGATGCCAAATTAATAAAGTCAAGACTTCAGGCAGTACCTAATGAATTTTTTGTGGAGTTCGCAGATGACTCACTTTTTAAAAGCATATAAATAAGAGATAGATTCTAACGTTTCGATTATTTGCGGTATGGTGGACGTAAAGGATCCTTCGTAGTTTCTAGTCGCTCACATATCATAAAGTTTCATTCTTTACGATCATTGATCATGCACAATTAAGGAATTTATAAAATCAACATTCAATAATCTGCATAATACGGAACTGTCTAAAAACATATCTATGATGAACGTAATAAAAAATACAAATTCAAAGATTCATAAACCAATAAAGTGCATTCATGATTCATATGTCTGCAAAAACTAAGAACTATAGGATAAATAATAAATCGGGACTTAAAGATGGGTTTAAAGATGGAAGCTGGATAAATAATGAAACGAGACTTAAAGATGGGTTTAAAGACGGAACGGGGTTTAAAGATGGAAGCTGGAGGAGAGACTGTCATATAAGGCAGTTTTCATGAGACGTCTTCATAACTGTTATAGAGGTGCCGGTAGGTTGGTTGATCAGTATTCACTAAAATATAAGATGTTAGTTCTTGGCAATTTGTGTATTTACTGTTAAGAAGCATAAATATTTCATTTCCAACCGCTTGCCAAGTTTCACAGCCCACCAGTGGCCGATGTTAAAAACGCCGAAAATTGGTATTTCGACTTAGATTCAAATCTCGGAGAACGAGTTGGGCGAGGTTTCGTAGTTTTCTTCATGTGTAAAGTGATTATGAACCAGTTTGCCTTCATTTAATTAGAAAGCTCTTGAGTGCTTTAACCTAAGCTGAATAATATAACCTAATCATGGCAAGTTTTACACACCCAGTAAGCTTTGTAAACCCGCTGAGAGGCATTCCATCGAGTTTCGACGGCAGTACTCAGGTATTTTCAATAGCTGCCATGGCAGCGTAATATGAGCTGCCTCCCAGACGAGATAGTGGTAATGGTTAGTATTGCTGATTGCCGTAACCTAAGAGCCCGAGTTCAGCTTCCGCAAAAGACATGAATGTTTGTAAGCGTATGTTTGCGACATGGAGGCATTCAAAATTCACGGCAAGTCAAAATCCTCCCGAAAAGTTAGTGGTATAGTAAGAAGGGTAGGAGAGTTTTGGACTGCCCCCCCCCGGGATATTCCTTCTTGAAACCCAGCCAAGACGAAAAATTAGCAGTTAGCAAGACCAGCCGATACATAATATGCCTAGATGTATTCATAAATATCGGCTTTACTTCATCATGTACCTGTGTATTCTGAGCTACATTAATATTATTCTTTACTGTTGCCTTACTTTTTTAACTTCCATTTTTCAGCAGTTTGCAACCTTGATAACTTCATGCTTGTTGCTGTATGTGGATTCACGGTGGCCTTTTAACATTCATGCTAATGTTACATCTATGGGACAAATATGATGACTTAGAGGTTAAAATAATGCCAACATATTACCAAAACGAATATATGTCACATTCAGTCATAAAATATTGTTGATCAACCAGTTAAATTATTGTGAGTGCGCTGTTTGTGTTGTACCACGTCTGCTTGAGTTTCTGTCAAAATAGCCTTCATTTATTTGAGTGACATATTCAGGTTTGGTCTCGTATTTCAGCATCTCCTTTATTTCGCTGGAAGAGTAATGCTTTGCTGAAGCTGTTGTTTCTTCCCTCCTTGACGAAATCTCCCTCACAGTCTCTTACTGAGACACAGAATACAATTCCATAAAATCTTCGGTGGTCAGTTTCTTGCTACGTTCTTATACTAGCTTATCGATATTGTTCATTTCTACATCTAGCTCCATATCTTAACCAGAGGCGCAATCTCATCGATTGCAGGCCCTAGATCAAGAAATCAGTGCGACAGTGCTTTTCGGCCGAACATTCTTCTATGCAGAAATAAGGGTTCTCTTGGTGACCCACTCCTATGCTTTGTCAATCATCGATGCGACGATGCGAACATCGAAGGCAACGATGCGAAAGCGGTCTTTCTAAAACTCTGTAGGACTTAGACTGATTCCTTCAGATATCTCAAAACAGCGCTCGAAGAGCGCTTTAGTATAGAGCTTTTGTAAAACTTGAAATGACTGTTGGTCCATGGGCTACAATAAAAGAGTGGTATTAGGAAGCAGAAAATGGATCATGATGAATATAAAGTCTTCAAGAAGATCATATTTTCGTTTGGAGGATATGCAGTAGCGTTATTCATAACATGCATAACATGGAATGGCAAATTCATCTCAAACAGATATATTTTAACAGACGAACCAAATACTTCATTCATCCAATGTGTAAAAATGTCATGTATAACACAAGCCTTGTTATTTGACCTCCACGTAGCATTTACCCTGCTCTTTTGAATTTTATACTTCTTGAAGGATCGTGGATTGGAGGATGGCTCGTGAATGTAAAACGAGGAGCAGTTTCAATTTAAAATCGCCACTTGCGTCTGCACAAAACAACAGCGTAAGACGATCTGTCATTGGCTTGTGTCCCTGCAATGCTTTCTCATCTGCTGTAATATAAATTCGCTTTGAATATTTTTACAGAAGAAACCCATCTCATAGTGTTTCTCCGTGTCCCACAATATTGAGGATGTCGGCTCCTCTTTTAAACTTTTCAAATCACCAATGGTTTGTCTTGAATACTTGTTCTTCATACATTGATGATCCTAGCGTCTTCTTAATAAGGCCGGCAAAATTAGTTTAGCCTTCTTACAAATTATGTTTTCATTAACACAATTGCGTGGAAATTCTTGTGACACACTTTGGAACATCAATCTCTTTAATCTTATTCTCGTTTTTAAATACAGTATAAATCGTCGATGTAGACTGATTATCTAAGTGTGCAAGGTCAGCCACGCTATATTATTCTTGCTTCTCAAAGATTTGGCGTTTGACTTCTATGATAATTTTTCTTCTTGTAGCTCTGCTTCTTGCGGCATTTTCTTTGGAGACAAACGTGTAAGCATTCTTAAATTTTTCGCTGAAATAATGCACAATGGTGTGCCTGAATCGCATGTGATAGTATGGTGCTAACTGAACGAGCTCTAATCATATACTGATAGCCTAGATGTAGGCAGGATTCTGAATATGACGCCATGATGTCTCCACATCATTCTTTCTTCTAAACATCGCTAGTTAAGGGAGATATTTTTTTTTTTTTGACAATTTGTTTTGCTCGTTTTTCGAACTATTCATTATGGGAGGTGCACGTTAAGCGAAGTTCGACTGTTAAAAGAAATTAATATCAGGTGTATAAAAATGTTAATGAGACATCAAGCAGAAATTCAATATCTGAATACTTCTTTAGTCAGGTATAAGGAAGAATAGGTAAAATACCCATTCTTCCTTATACCTTATATGAGTTAGAAGTATGGTTACACATTTGAAAATACAGTATGCCTCTATAGCGTAGAAGGGAAATGGTGAACAGTATGTTAACTCGTTGTAGCGCCGACACAGCAATATCATTAATGATTATAGTAGCTTTCGAAACGAGGCAAAGTAAATCTGGTTCGCATTGCTCTTCAAGTGGAAGACCTGATTTTCTAGCAGCACTGTCTGTATTCTTTTAAACATAATACTGTCATAACATGGCACAATCAATTTTGTAACCATATTTCTGATTTAATCTCCTGAAGAACGCATTTGCTAATGCAGACAAAACTCCAAAGTGGATCTACTGCAAAAATTGAGAAAGTAATAACATTTGATTAATAAGATTCGGACTAATGTTCTATTAACGAACATCTTAGAAATTTACGTAATAGCGAACTTCTTGCTTTAAAAGCTACTTGTTAGACTTCATTATTTCAAAAAAGAAATTTTTCGACATTTGTGTTACTTTGTTTAAGCATTTTCTTCTTTATAGCTTGAAAACCATCACACTGCATAAAACCTTTCTAGAAGTTTGTTTCTTTAAGAAGTAAAAACAAGTGAGGAAAAAAACATTTGAAGATATTACAATTTAAGTCGATCAAATGTCAGCCGGTGGATGTTGAACGCTTAGTGTATTAAATGTGTTAAAATTTAGAACTCGTAGCTAAAACCGAAACTTTCGCTATTAAATACATAGGATGTGACTTAATGAAACTTAGATATATCATTTTCAGTGACTTCGATAAATTGATTGTAAACTGAAGAAATATTGATAAATTGATGATTCTGAGGAAGTTTTGGGAAATTTTACAGTTTTGGTATAGCTCATTTAAGATCTCAAATTTAAAAAAAAATTAAATAAAAATTATTGAATTTAATATTGAATTAAAAAGAAAAATGGTGAATCTCTCAAAAATAGCTTTACCTTATTTAATTGAAAATTAAGTAAAATTTGTTATCTTTATTTCACGAGATATTTAGTTAATATATGTACTTCAAGGGGTATATAACTTCAATTATGAACCTGATTTAAGAAGAAGTGTTTACAACAATAACTAGCTCACTTCCAAATGTTAATTGTTTTAGAAATTAAAAAAATATTGCACTGTCTATATACAGAAAAAGCAAATCCCCGAAGTAGAGTGAATACTTTCTCAAAATAAATTTTATGTTGTTGCGGAATGTGTTAATAAGAAATTCTTTATAGTAGACACTACATCCATTTCTTAGTTAATCAGCCAAGGTATCTTGCAGATAGTGTTATGTGTATTATATAGCAAGAGCAAACTTTGTTTATACCTTTTGTTTGGGAGTGAAATATGCAAATGGCTCATCTTATGCACATCATTTAAACTAACTTCAAAATTTCCATTTTAAACAATTTTTTTAATTTAAATAGCAAAAAACAAAAATTATAAAATAAAATACATTTCTCTTTTTATGAAAGAACTCTTATATATTTTAGTGCATATGATAAAAGACGGCATATTGATTGGCATTCTGCAAATCCCAATTTAACCTTTCGTATGTTTTTCGTAGAATCACTTTAGTTAAACTATTATTCATTAGTTAGTTAAAGGTTCCATATCAGTATTAACAGAGATATACGTATAATTAATATTTTTATACATTCAGCTACAAATTTAAAACAAATGTTGTTATATCTAATACGGATCCATTAACGCAAGAGGAGTAATGTTTGCTCTAAATTTCGATTAAAAATTCCGACTATTAAGATGATTTCGGAGTCTGAAAACGTCAAAAATAAGCTACATCTTCTCCGGGATTCGATCTACGATTGCTAGTCGGATGTGATACCACTTACAGAACGAAATTTCACCATTGAGGAAGGCAAAAATTCCTTTTATTCTCCCTCATTTAAAGCGCCATTGAGGAGAAAAGTGATTCAGTAGCCAAATATAGGTGATATATTTGGAGCGAGAAACGTGAGAAAAGTCGACTAGTTAAGTTCAAGCCTAGTTAAGATTCGAACTCTGGATTTTCATACTGGCAGACAAATGTACTACCACTTCCAACATGAAGACATGTGCGAGGAAAGGGCGAAATTATCCTATAATTTTAATCTATGAATTCATTATCGAACATGTCAATAAACATTTATATCACAGCATGGAACATTTTGTATTTAGCTTATTTTATTAGCTAAAAAAAAGCTATTTTATAACATTTGTAGTGTTTTCTACTAAACGACGATGAAAATTCTTATATAAAATCCTGGGGTTTACTGTGAAATAATTTATAACTTGAAGTACCTGTCTATGAAAAGAATATAAGATTCTGTCAAAAACATTTAACTACATTTATATACGGGAAAATTTAATATTTAACTGATCAGAGTTCTTTAGAATATAAAACTTTTGAAAAACAACTTTCCTATTTAGTCCTAAAAATAATAATATATGCTGAATTACTGTAAATATATTGTTTACTTTTACAGAACTTTATGTTTCCATCGTTTGCGCTATATTTGGCCTGGTGACATATTTTATCTTAGATGCTCCTGAAGCTGTTTTGAATTACCTAAACGTAAGTTACCTTTTTTTTTTATTTCTTATATTATGGTGTGTTCTCAGTCTCATTCTTTTGGATATAGTAACTTAGCACGTATTTGATAAATTATAAAGTTTATATGAATTTATTTAATATTACTCCCACTGAAAAGCATTTTTTATCATTTGCCTTAAATAGAAAACGTAAAGAAAAGATAAAAGAGTTGGGATTAATAGGATTTCACACACATTTATTAGCAACTATCCGTCAAAATGACTTATCTCTTTAAATTATACCTCTGAAGACCTTTTTTTTATATTTCCATGCATAAAAATGATGATATAAGGCTTTTGCAGATAAATGTGTCTTATGTATTTGCCTGGATGCGCTTCCAGTGAAGCTGAAAATAGGAAATTTGGTAAATTAAAATTATTTGGGGTCCATTCGAATCCAGTCTTAAGTATTAGGTGTAGGATGATACGTGCTGTATCGCATAGTTATGTATGAACATCAGAACAGCGCGTCAAAAATAATAATTACATACTTTTTATATACGAATTGTAGTATATAAAAATTCGTAAAAATGCACAAAGCATTAAAATATTGATTCAAGATGTTTTTGGAGAATTCACAAAATAAGTGTAGCTCGTAATTATATGTTGTATTTAAGAAAATTATTTAGAATAAATTAGAAAATTACTTAGAATCGCCCATACAGAGGGCAAGTGGTTAAGACTACTGAATACTGGACGCAGTTTTAAATCAAAGTAATTGGCTGCATTTCATGGTTTTCCCAGCATGTAACGAAAATATGAGACAATTTTCCTTAGAAAATCCTCCACAGAGGCATCCTTTTCATTAGAACGGATAGTTCTCGTCCTCTCTACCATGTTTAAATTTTCAAAATAACCTAACCTAAAATGTTATCGATTAAATGTTAAAGTGCTTATGAGTGCTTATGTTAAAGTGCTTATGTGCTAATGTTAAAGTGCTTATGAGATGGACTCCCAGATGTAATTCCTTTCATCAGATTTTAAACCAGCTATTACCCTTGGTCAGTAAACAATATCTTTCCAATGAATATTTTCTCCTTTCAGTTTAAAAGTGCTCCCGATGTGAATTTCCCACGAATACTGTACGCTATTTCATTGGGTAATCTAGGAATGTCATTCATATGGGAGGTAAGCTTTTATTTCCAAGTAATCATATGTAGTCATCTTCAAATGGCCTTATACTGTAAAGTTTTATAAAATACTGTAATAAAAGTGCTTGGATTAAAACAAATGCGAAATAATGTCTACAAAAATAAACCACACTACTACTGTCATTGGAAATAAATGTAACGCATATAATTGCTAGAGCTCTAAAATTAAATTCTGGATATAAAGTGAACAAATAACCTAACAAAATAACTTGATTAATTTTGCTTTTTCAGAGAAATTTCCTCTTTAGCAATATTATTCTGCTGTTTTGTTTGAATGCAAAGTGTAATTCGTATCCTAGAAATGATTCTTCTTTTATGTGCTTTCATGAATGTTGAAATTGTGAAGTTGCCTTTGTGTTCTGTGCTGTCTTGAAATGCGCTGCTAAAAGCTAAAATAATATTAGCGAAGTACCGAAACTGTGATTTTTCCAAGAGCTGAAGGACATAAATTTGCTTCACTAAAATAAGCAGCAATTGCTGGATACGTAATAGTTCCCAATATACCTCAGCAATAATGAAGGAGATTGTAAATTACAAAATGATTATTTCCTTTTAACTCAACTTCATGTAAATTCGATTTCATGCAAGCGCAATTACTTGAGACTTTTTGGTAAATTATGTATAACAGTTACGCGTATTATTATCAGCTGTGCACAATCACCTGAAATAATCGCATAATGTTTCTTAAGATCTTACACGGCCACTTCTAGCACGAAACCAATTCCTGGCATAGTAGATCCAAAGTTTGTAAGAAAATGAATTATGTTTTCGGTATTGTATACATGAGCTTTCACTCTAATGTTCCAATGCATAATATATATTAAAATTCTGAGACAAGTGTGGCCTTCAAAACCTGTTGATGTGATCCGAGCGGTAGAAAATTAATGCGAAAGAAAGGAGAAAGTACGCGGCATTGAATTTAAATGAGAGCTTTTTATATTTTGAATTAATTTAATGGATATTTAGCATTATTTAAACGAATTCTTTCGGAAATGTCTGGATAATTTATGTAAATTTCAAAATATATGAATAACTGGTTTTGTTACACATTTCTGAGTGGGTTTCAGTGTTTTAGAATCAACAGCAACATTCCTATGCATTTTTACCATTCCTATTTATTTCCTCATACGAACTAAAGGAAGTATTCTAATCACGAAAACTTTCGGGTAAAATAGATATTTTAACAGCTCTCGAATCCATTTAAATGATGATTTTGAGTGCCATCTGCACGGGTAGACTAAAGGACTCTTTTTCCCAAAACGAATTTAAAATGGCGTTTACTGACGTTTTACGCGACGTCTCTACATACGCACGTACGTATGTATATATCTCGCATAACTCAAAAACGATTACCCTCAGAAATGTTGTATATGGGAAGGGGAGGATTGCTATAACATTTACTCGTGCATCTCCCTTTATCGTTGCCATTAGCCACGCCAAATATATACTTCCACCCTGTTACCCGTCTCGGTGAGCTTTGATTCTTACATATTGGTAAATTTCGCATTTCTTTCTGTAAAAGTGATTGAATTATTCTGTTCTTATGTTCCAGTTAAGGTTTTCATGTCTTTAGTTTATCTGCATGCGGTAGATCCACAGTCATCAACAATTTAAAAGTTTAGCTGGCGCTATGTCTGATGAGGCCGAATTTTTTGTTTACATTTGAAACTAGCAGAATAGTGAATTGTCTGTTTTAGCGTAGAAACTCAAATTTCAACTGTAAAAGTTGTATTTTATCTGTATTTGGTGCTTTGTTTTTTCTATGTTTTACAATTTTTAATGAAGTCGTTTTCAGTTTTTATGTATTTTTGCCTTGCCACGAAGTGAGAACTGAATTGATTAAATCAGAATATATTTTTAATGAAATTCGAGGAAATAAGTTTAAATGAAATGCAGCAAAAATTGTGTATAATTTAATAGGCCACGTAAGGAAATCATGTTTTGTCCCCATTAGATATTTTATATAAAATGCATGAACATGAGAAAGTGTACATTAAATAAAAATAATTGCAATTGCTACACTAAAATTGCATAGAACAACTCTAAAAAATGTTTTTCTTAGCTTAAAAATACGTATTATTAAACGAAAATTTGGACAGTAAGCAAAAGAAATACTTTAGTTTCAGGGATTGATCGACGTTGCATTTTCATGATAGTCGTTTTGAATTTGTCATGCCTGTTGTCAACATCTCTCGAGAAGATGCATTTTAGTTAATTTTGAAAGTTTGGTATATAAGTAAAGTGTTCCAAAAGAAAGTAGTCAAATGACTGCAGTGCATTCTGTGGCCCAAGATAATTTAAAATATCCTCTATATATACATCATATTTTAGGAGAGCAGAGCAGGAAATGCAGAGATACAAAACCGTGAACATAGCGTCAATAAGATACGAAGGTTAGCTTAATATACAGCGTGACACAAAACAAAGTCATCCGATGCCAGCAGTACATTATGTGACCGAAAATATGCAAAAAATATCCCGTAAGCATATAGGGACAAACGCATAGTTTAGGAGTTACGAGACAAATGGATGTGAATACTAAGCTATCTACCTGCCTTGTAAGCAAGAGGTAGACACATGGAGCTTATCGAAGGTATAGTTGATCAGTAGGATCACAATGTGTAGAGTTCTTAAGTGAATATTCTTTTTTTATTGGCCGTGTGATAAATTACCAAATTTCAGGTCAACATAGAAAGTTTTAATTACCATAATTATTACAAAGGCAATAAGTAAAAATTACATACTTCCAAATTTGTTACAATATATGCTTTAATTTCAAGCCACCACCAATAAGAGAAGCAACATAATCACCGTCGCAGAGGACGGAGGACACATTATGCATACAGTATTGGGATTCACTTGTCAACGTCCTCAATAAGCTTCCAATATTCTTGAAAAGAGGACTTGAATATTTAAAAGATGCCGTAGTTTTTCACAGGATACTCGGTGATTAGCGAATGTAAAAGATGCTAGCATCTTCATCTTTTATTTTTACTGATCTTCAACACTATATATTTCATAAATTATATATTTTACGTTGTATGGCCATAAGACATTTTCTAATTACTTTCGGCCATAGAATACATTCTCGACTCTAATCGGTTTTCATTTGGAATATCTTATTGAGCGTAAAAACTGGCACTCGTAGCTTTGAAAATGAGACAGATATTTTTCCCTACCCTCTTTAATGCTCTCTCGGGTGCAGCCCATTTTTGGCTATAAAGGAAATTTAGATTCACTAGGCGCACCGGGCTACACCAAGATTCTAACTAACATATTTTTACCTTTTATGTAATTAAAAACTATCAAGAGTTGACGATAGTTTGAAGACTATCGAAACAGACGGGAAATATTGTTTATTATATTTCCTATAATTTGCTCTCTTCCTTGTCTTAAAACTATTAATACGTTTTTTAGCAACTTAAAAGTGTCTGCGTAAATTTAACTGCATTTATACTTCTGCTGGATACAAAAATTTGTTATTAAAGTATTATTACCTTATCCGTTATTAATTTTCTACTTCAGATATGAACCGCCTTTTAGATGGAACAAGGAATTATTTCGCAATGCATGTTCAGTATTGCTTACAAAATTAAACTGCAAATAAACGCACTATATTTACTTGCTAGTTTTAAAATTGCTTTCATTTGATCTTTATTAAAACATATTAGGCTTTTTGAGATTGCTTTAGAGATATTCGTAGGAGGATTACGTCATTCAAAATTCGATAGCTCTATGTACCGTTGTTTTATCACAATGAGAGAAACAGACATACATTTATGCAGATTTTTCATTGTTTAATTTCTTCAAATATAATGCAGGACTCGGCTGCAACAGACTCTCGGGACTAACATTTGGCGGCAACAGTTTGGAAAGTGTAACGGACATTTATAGTGAACCAACGCAAAATCGTAAAACGAAAACAATAGTCCTTCAGGGACAAAGAACCTTTAGACAAATAATGTGTTAGTTAAAAAAGTTATTATTAGTAAAACTCTTGTGCGTAAAATTCAACTACTTGCGTTTCATCATCACGTTAGATTTCCTTTTAACTACACGTTTATTGAAGTTCCAAGTAAGTAACAATTTCAAACCAGCGACTTCTGACACAAACTCTCTTATTCTTAACTTCAGATAACGCAAATGTTTGGTTATTCGTATGGCTATTAATTAAACCCTGGATAATTATCACTTCATAAATTTAATATGAATGTCAATTGAAAAATATCTGGAAAATAGGCAGATTATGTAATGAAATGCGCGTGTAGGAATGAAAATGTTAAGGGATTCCTGTTTAAATATTGGCAACTTATCCAAAGATATTGTTATTAAGGTTCGCAAAATTAAATGATAAATATAGCTAAATCTGCTTGATTTGTTTATAGAATTCCAAAGCGCATTTACAAAAAACTGCATATATAATGAAAATAATTAGACACATAAAAATAAAGTTAGCAAATACAAACCAAAAAATAGACAACATTTTAAAAAATATACGCGCAGATTTATGAGAAAATGAATTTAAATCAAATAATAATAAATAAATAAAAAGAATTTACAGTGACAAAAAGTAAATAAAAATTTGCACGCAAAAAAGTATACAATAAAAAATAAATAAATGTATTATAATATTCAACTTTCTTTCTACCCGCTCTCTCTTTATCTAAGAACTTCTCCTTTTTTTGATAATTTCATCTGTATTGATGTTCAAAACATTGCGAAGTATTCCTTGGAGAATTTTTTTAATCTGTGAGTTTGGTCACTTAATAATATCTGGCTAAATTTCATGGCAAGCTGGTTCACGGCACGAACTTTGCGCAAAATATCGCTAGATGCCATTCGTAATTTCCCTATTTTTGACCTTCATTATATTTAGAAATATGTGTTCAATTAATTTTAGATTCAAACCTAGGTATAATTCCGCGATAAAGATGAAACATATCTAGTATTCTATTTATTCGTTTAATGAAATTCTGCTAACTCTGAGCAATTTAATTAGAGATTCAACATTGCCTGACAAGTATGACTATAAATGATATTTAGTATTATTCTTTTCTTTGTATGCTTTTAAAATATGTTTGATGAAAAATTCTGATAATTAAATATTTTTAGAAATATATCATTCAGCGCGTGGTAACTAATAACATAGTACCATTCATCTCACGTTTAAAAGGACCAGTTCAGAAGTTTGAGAAATTGCAACAAGAGCTACTGGCAAGCGAAGAATGGCCACCTCTAATTCACGATAGTGGTAAGAAAGTTTTAGTTACTTTCTGATAGGTCTCCAATGAATTCAAAACTGTACAGAACATTAGTCCATTTCTTTAAAAATAACATGAACTTCATGGATGTTTTCCGCCACCTGACTTGCCTCGTAACCATACAAAGGAGAGCTAAGGCAGCTTTGTGCCACATCAATACACGTGTTCGAAGACATAGAATAATCTATCCGAAGACAAATACATAGGATCCCTTTTGCCAAGTAATGAAGATCAGTATCTTTTCTGTATATAGGTTCTTAAATATCAGGTTCTTAAATTAACCTACAGATCACAAGGTATAAAATTTAGGCTTTTCAGTGAGTGATACTTCTACGGTCTCTTAGAAAATAGCGATTAATAGAATGAACCGTTGATCATTGTGTATTATTACACCTTGAACACTGACAACACAATCTTAAAGATTGCATTTCGGGGCATGTGAAATTTTTTGGCTAATAAAAAAGTCATCTCCAGTACAATTTTTAAATGTTTAGGATTAGTTTTAACCCTTTGACTACAAATTTTAAAAATCAAAATTTTTACCCCGTTTTCTATCCAAGTGAACAAATTATGTCATAAATAAGGTAAATTTAGCATTTGGGATTTTTTAACAATCGGTTTTTAAGTCAAAGGCTGGGACACATATATCACAGTCGTAGTTAATGGGGGAGGGGGGGATACTTAAGTCCCACATGTAGCGATTGACTTACTATAAGCACACCTTAACAGGTGCAAAATGAATTTGCATTTTTTAGACTTCTCTATTAGATTGCTTTTCCATTATAAAGATTTTTTTTTTTAATTTCTGCTAACTAACCCTTCATTTCATTTCATTTATGTTTTATTTTATGATGATTTTTCTTCTTATTAAACTATCTTATTAAACTATTATTTTTTATCAATAAATCTTATTTCAGGCAGAGATGAAAAGATACAGGTTTCGAATCCAGGGACATCCTCAATAATAAACATGTTATAGGTGAGAAATAGACATTCTTTGGTGAGTCGAAAACACACTGAAAGGAAACGAATAAAATTTTAATTTTAGTACTATAGTTGTACTAAATTTTACCTTTCTCTTGGAAATAATATCATCACAAAAGAATAAGATTCGCTTAGTTACATACGGGTAAACTTTTAAGTTTTCTATGAATTTTTAAACAGATAACTTCATGTTTGCTTATACGTTTATAATATGTTGTTACATATTATTCTGTAGTACAATGTATATGTGTGAGAAATATGTAAAAACCCAAAGCACATTAAAACCTTCATATATATTTTAAGTTATGGTTATTCTTTCATTGTGTTATATTTGATCTCAGTATTACTGCTACAGGAGTTAAAATATCTTTCCAACTATGAGCAGATCTTACAGAGAAACGTCAAATGCTAATTTATATTAAATCCTTCAGTTTAGTTCTTTAATTTAACAATACTTTAATTAAATAATACTAATTTGATAATTTAATACAATAATATCGGTGATAAACAAAATTAATTTTAAATTTATTATGTCTATGCACCTTTTTGAAGAAACTTTCCTTTCCATGCATAAAGATTTTGCTTTTTTGAATCAGTAGAAATTTCATCTTCTGCGCTCGAAACCAACTATAAACAGCAAAGCCTTATTTTAAGCGTACATGCAATTTTGCTTGTTTCAACACATTTCATTAAATAAAAGCTTGGATTTAGCTTCGCATTAATAAAAGTTTCTTACGTATCTGGATTATATAAAATAATAGTTTTACATCTTTCTTAATCGTATAAAAATATAAACAGATGTTCTATCGTGTCGTTTCTGGGTGTTCCAGAATAATTCAAAATGCGAGATTCCAGTTCCATGATCCTAATCATACGATACTTCCTGGGACCTTGGGGATAATTTCTATTATTAATATTTTCGATTGCTATCAAAATTTTGAAATTATAAGGTATAAATCATTGGGTTAAGGAAAGTAAATTTTACGTGCTCTTTACATGGCTTTGCAAAGCAAACTTGTAATTAATCTCGCTTTACTTATTGCCTGCATCTACCGTAAGAGTTTGTAAATAATCAAATCTTAGTATTGCTTTTAGTAGCTCTTTGATAAAGTATATAAAAGTTTAAACGCATGCTCTACTCATTACGTTAGATAGTACTTTTTTCATTCAAGAGAGTGTTAGTTTCACATCCATTCTTCACTCAGCGGAATTCGAAATGGCTATTTTATCCGGAATCTAATACGATTTCATATATAATATAATACATATTTTTATAGTATAGAAAAATACGGCTTACGTATAAGATGACATCCTATACGTGAAACTAATGAAGGTGGTCTACAAAAAAAATTAATTTATCTGTAGCAAATATCGTACCTGGGGAAATAAGAAAGTATTTTTTTTTAAATTTTATTCTTTGGTTATAGATGATTAATTATTTTGTGTACTTTAAATTCATTTTAAAGGCCAGGTTTCGCATGGATGATGCTTATAATATTTATGAGAATATTTTAGGTAAAAAGCATTGCCGACTTACTACGGTCATGCGGACTGGAGACTCATGGTACGAATTTCAGCAATGTTCATTTATTAAAACATGTTAAAAACATTTATGCTCAGCGGAACTGTCATACTTCATTTTCCTTATAACTAACTAACTGAAAAACAAAAAGTATTTATTTCGCAGCTACTTATCATGTTTCTATCTTAGTTACTTAGTGAATAGGATTGATTAGCAAAGCATCCATGCTTTTTACTTAAGTTTTAAAATAAATGCAAACAAATAGAATTTAATTAATTATCTGCTAATGAATAAGAAACATACATAAATTTCATGTTAAAAATATATGAGTTTATTAACAATATTAAAATTAAAATATTATTTTCGGTCGCAAAAGAATATATAATGTGTTTTAAAACTAAATGCAAAAAATAAACTATGTCATCATTATATCAGTATTGTACGCAACAGTAAATAACAGTAATTAAAAAGTAACAGCTAGGCTTAAGTATTTTCTGGTAAATTAAAAAAATACTGAAGTATGTGTGCAAACTATATATATATGTGTGTGTGTGTGTGTGTGTGTTAAGTACATACATACAGTTCCATTTATCCGAATCCGCCCTTTTCACTGCAGTAAAACTCCAGTTACCTCGATTCTAGACACATCCAACACCAGTTATCCAGGTATTTTATTCTTCTTTCTAGCGACGAAACAAATAAAGTTGCTTCCTAGTTTATTATGGAGCTTTTAATTTTTCCCTTGATTTAAAACATATAAACAATAGAATACATTTATTATTTTGGTCCAATTAAAAAAGTCTCAATTTAAATCATATTAGATGGACATAGATTACGCATTTTATTTGCTTCAAAGTAATCTGTTTATATAATTTTAGAACAAACAAATAAAAATAAATGTTATTTATTTTTAGGGTCTTCATAAATAATAATTAACTTCGATATTTTATTTTAGCTAAAATAGAAATGCGCTGGCTGGGAGTTAAGGTAAATAAAAATAATCTCATTCTCTAATTTTGTCAAAAAGAATTATGTTGAATTTTGTTTGAAAAAATATAAATATTTTAAATGTATAACATTTGATGAAATAAAGTGCGAGAAACGAAAAAATTAAATTTGTCGTTTACATTACTGTTGGGCGGACTAATTTAATTACCCGGACGGTACCCGGCCCACAGCTCTGTACGAATACTTCCGGTATTCGTACAGAGCTGTGGGCTATATGGGGTTAGTGTATCAATTAATCTACATTTCTGGAGTCCTATTGTACACTCATTCTCAACACTTGTTTATTAACCCTTATTAATAACTCATAACAACGACCATAGAGTATTATTTACAGATTTGGGGATAATTTTCTTCACCTTATTCTTCTTCAGACGTAAAAAAAAAGTTATTTGTTATACTGATTGACAAACATAATTAAATAGGAAATTTCTAAATTATTTTTCTAAACAGTTACTCGTCGTCTATAAAATAGATGAAAGGTAATGCAAATCATTCAATAAAGATCATAAAAAATGCAAGTAAATATTAAAAGAATTTAAGCTGCTAAGAATTCAGGCATTATAACATAAGAAGTGTCACCAAAGCATATTCATAATTTCTTTCAGCTAATTATAAAAATACAAGTATCACATTATTACTAGCACTGTATCAACAAGTAATTAATTTTTTTTAAACTGCCTATATTTTGTAGTAATTTTTGACATGATATTAAAGAATAAATAGCGATGTCCTTTGAAGAAGGTTTATAATTTTGTTAGGTAATGCTCAATATATGGGATTTTCACGTTATGTTTTATCTTTTCTACCAAATGATATGATTTTATATGATTTTTTTTTTCAGTAGCTATTTTCTCTTTTCACTTCATTTTATCTATTACTATCTCCATAATGCAACACAGCAAATTTTAAAAACGTTCTGCAGTTTGCTTATAGAAAAATTTCCATTTTTGCATCAAAATCTTTGTGAGTTCCAATATATCTCTTCACATAAATAGATAAATTTTGAATGTGACGTGTATACATAATAATGTATATAATAATATATAATTTGAACAAGATGTATTTTTATACGAAGTTTTAATGTTTCTGGAAATGCTTAATATTCTTTTTTCAGGTGATGATAATGCCTGCGTTTTCTTTGTTATTTTTGCAGTCTTATTTGTTTGATTTATACGAATGGTTCTAAAAGCGATATCTCGTACTAGATATGTGGTATCAGGAGAAAATTCTTGTAAATTAATATTTATTTAATAGATTAAATTACCAGTATAAAAATTTAAAAAATAGGTTTACTGCAGTCTTTTAAAGATAATTCATATTGAAGATGGCCTTTACACATTAGATGTGTTATAATTCCTTAGACACTTATTTATGTTACATTCCTCAGAAGTGCGCAGTTTGAAAGAAAGATAATTTTAATTATGGAACTCACCTGTACAAAATACTTATGTTTTCCATTTTTAATATAACATTTTTGGATGTTAAGGCAACATTCTGGTGCAGATTCTATTTTATAGAACTTAAATCAACATACATATAGTAAAAATGCTGCAGTCACAAGATTTTGTTGAAATAACTTAAGCGAAACATGAAATCAAGCAAACATTCAGCTTTTTATTTGTGAATTTCTAAATTATTTGTACTATATCTATTATTGAATTTTAATTTTACTCTTTGAAATTATGTTTAATATATGATGTCTTTAAAGAGTTTATTGATATTCAAAGAAAACCACACTGATATTGAAGGAAAAATATTTTTACTCTATTACTAGTAAATTGATAACCTCTATGAGCAGTGTTAAAGGCTTCTTCTCTATAAGGTTTTATACTAAAGAAAGAGAACGTATTTAAGGTATAGAAAAGAAATAAGTATAAGTAATATTATTATTTTTCGATAATGTTATCCATTTGAAAGATTAACACTCCGTAAGTGATCATAACACCCGTGATTGTCAGAATCATTTGGTTGCTGAGAACAAACATATTTCCCCCAGTAAAATGTATATCTGCCAATTTGATATCTTGTGCCATAATTAAGAAACTGGTTAATTCCTTCATATTAGCATTATGTATCGTGATTAAGTGAGAGCAGTCTGTAAGTATTCCTTTCAGGACACTGAATTTGCTGACGACACGATTACCGGCAAGTGTTATGACGAAGAACATTCCCAAAGATGTAGCAAAAGTAAGTGATACAAACATATTGATTGCGAAATTATTCACTCCGTTTCCTAATACTGCACTCAAAGCGTTGAAGAAACAAGATATTGTAGACCCATACAGGAAGAGAACACTTCCAGAAAAAGCATGATCTACTTCTTGTACAGCGCGCAGTAAATTTTTAAATATCAAAATGTTCTTAGAAATTGACTCTTGGTCTATTAGTCCAAACTGAAAACGTTTCTTCAGCTTGTACCCAAAATTATCAAGGACGTCACTGATTTGGATATAAGAAATAGTGCTCAATAAAAATACAGCTCCACATACAGCACCATTTAAAGTGTACATTAGGATAACTGAAATTCTAAGAATCAATACGAAGAGATTTATGTATTCGTTTTTCAGTGTGTATCCAAGTATAATTATCTCAAATGAAATATCTGTAACATCAGAATCGTAGAAGAATAAAAGTGCTAAAGAAGCAGCAATGGCAGCCGTAGCTATGACTTGAAAAGTCACCAAGCGAGTAACATTATACATTTTAGACGTGCTTTTCACACCCATTTGAATCACAAGATTTGTTGTCATTTTTAGAGATGAAA